AGAGCCTAGACAAATATTTCGCAGGCATGGGATGTCGGAAATAAAATTTAATAGACATATAAAATTGGAAACGAGCTTTTGTAGTATTTAGGGTCATTCGTTAAACGGTTTAATTACGTTTTCATTTGTAATGTCAGTTATAGCAAAGATAGTTATTCATTCGATATCAATTTAGGCCGCGTGTCTGTTTACCTTCAGACTTTTAAGTTACGTAATACGATTTTTCAGTGGTGCCCCAATTATTTTTGTCCCTTTGTCCATTTTAGAACTCTTTATTCCTCCTTCTCTAGTACTCAAAAATCTACTTCATTTGTTCAATCTTTAGTTCTTTAGCAAGAGTTATACGCAAGTCAAGGTCCCACTTTTGTGCAGTATAGGAAGTTTAAAATGTTTGCTTAAAGAAGTGTTATAGTAATAATAAAGTACTAAATTATATCAGCAACACTATAGCAAAAACAAAGCAAAACTCATCTACCAAAAACCACAAAAGCCTTTAATTCTTGACTCAAAGCACTAACTTTCCCAAGACTGCAGGAGAAAATCCTCACAAAAACGCGTTAAATCAAACGCTTTATTACGGATAAATATTGAAAAGATAATAAACAGACAGGCAAGTTGGAGAAGGGGACATACGTGCCCCCATACGTTTTTTTCCTTATATACATATCGTTTTCAAATTTTCGTTACTCAAAGATAGAAGTCGCAAGAAAGCTGCGTAGACCCATACTTCACCTGGAATTTTTGAATTTTGATACGTGATTGTATGCACGATGTTTTACAGTCTTTTCTTATGATTTTCGCCTAAGTGGTTTCGGTTTGAGATCAGGAGCCAAAACAATTCGTTTGTAACATTTTGTCTTAAGATTTGGAAGAATCTGTACATTTACGTCCTTTAGGCTGCCTATATCCCTGCGGTAAGCCGTTACTGACAATGACCGAATCAACAGATATAGCAGAAAGGTTGAAAGTACACAGCCTTCGTTTTAAAATCCACTTTAAAAAATAAGCACGTCTTTGATGCATATCACAACAGTCTATCATATTTGTTTATATGATTATATTACAATCCTCCCAATTTTCCTAATAACTAGAAAAAAAGAGACGCGAGGCCATGCATTTCAACGTATCATTAAACTGAAATTTTTGTTATATCATCACTTCAAAATTGTGGAAATTATTGGTAGTTACTTCAGTGTGGACTTGCAATTTAACTGTGATTTTTTCGGTATTCTCATTTTCATTTAAGATGAATTTAATCAGGTCTTTGATAGTTTTCAGAGACTACAATTATGCTCATCACAGAATTTTACATACCAACATTGACCGAAAATTGAGGATTTCTGTTGTTGTTTTTTTCAGTTAAGCGACACATTCCCAGCAACCCTGTTTCAACCCAAAATGGTATTTCAAATCAAATCCCTTTTTAATCAATTTCGCCCACCGTAGAAAATTTTACATACCGGTACTTACAATGACCAGAATTGTGGACTTTTTTTTATAAAAATTTCAACATACTTTATAATTACTGAGTTTTCTCAAAAAGTACCAATGATTTAAGGATTGCATTCTTATTTGAATAGAATTCCCCCCCCCCCCCCCGTATTGAAAATCGAACTTGTCTTGTGAATTTTTATTCGCTGGTTTACTGATTGAAATCGAATGGTGCTTTCCAGGACTTATGAATAAAAGAATCGATTAAGAGTGATTAGCTTTCTTTCCACTGCTCGGTGACTTGAAGATAGCATTGGAATAGTACAGTAAGCCGAAATGCATTTCAATTTATTTGCCTGGGAACCATTCAGTAGTTCTCCCGTTGCCAACGAATAAAAAGGAAAATAGAAATTGATATTCATGAAAAATGTGGATTTTTTTGTATAACTGTCAATAGCACATATCAGACTTGTAAAATGCATTAAATCCCTGATTCTCTTAACGAAGTTATTTTTTGTTATGCTAATATTGACATGAAGTATGCTCTTGAAAATTGTTTCTCGTGTAACACAACGAAAGAACTAATATTTGAATAATGCAGTAAAACAATAACAAATTGTTCTATTTCACATATTTATTTTGTATTCCTCTTCATTATAACACTTTTAAACAAATTGAAACAACAACCAATTTTATCTTCATTAAAGTGATTATCGGTGTAATTTGGAGATAATTACAAACGGGTTTAGTTTGCTAAAACAATTGGAGTTGGAGAGAGAAATGCTTCAAATTGGGTCGTTTTAAATGATTGTTACCAGATATCCAGAATACTTGCATAACACCGTGCTATAATTTCGCAAATGAAGTTATAGAATGTAAATGAAAGATGAAGTAGAACATGAGCTATGAATCAATGATAATCACCAACCTGCTGTGAACCAAACAAAGAATGTCGCTATTTATTTTGTTCCCTTCTTTTACCCATCTATGTTTCTCAAAATAACGTTTATTTTCTTTTACAGAACAACGTTTCAATGAAGCATAATACTTATTTTTCTTACATCCTACTTGCATTGTTTATGTATTTATGGAGTTCGGTAGACGGAGAAGGTTAGTAATATTTTTCTTGGTCGTAAAGTTACCGTAGTTTGTTTGTAAACGTTATGGCTTGAAATCGGAATCCTGAAAGATTTAATATATACCCAAATAGGTAAAAGTAGGATTGTGATGGTCTACTAAAAAGACTGGTGTCTTATTCCAGAAACGATTTATTTGGCTATTTGTTATGCGCGGTAGGACAAATTCCTTATCGCTTTTATTATCTCAATCCACCTTATTCTCCATACCATAGCATATTTATTTTACTTTACGCCCGTAATTAGGGAATATTGCGATCCTTTATTTATTGTAATTGATATACATATTGTCACGCTAATACCCGAATTGCGTAAGTCATTTTTAGCAGTTTTGAGAAAAACGTAAAAAACTTCCTAATGATAATGTTATGCCATTGAGAGTCTATAATTTGCCATGGTTCAATTTTTTGATCGTAGCCGGATTTAAGTTAATTTGTATGACGCAGCTAAGTGACGTCATAATGGCGCACTGTGACTCAGACAGAAATGTGTATATGACTTGGGGACATACGCAATTTTGCAACTTTACTTTATGCACCAGTCATGAAAACTAAACATTCCAAAAACGAATATAATTCTCATTATCTACAATGTATAATCCCCAAAATAACTAATCAGTTTCAATTACATTATTTTTTATGTTTAAAAATATATATTTCATCAATATAACACGTTCTGCACTGCACACCCACCGAAATATGACTACGATTAAATATATAGAATAAAACAGCAATGCACCCAATATAAATCCCGCCAAGGTGAATTGGACTCGGACAGTAAATATCACAAGTGCACGTCTTCCTATACCATGGATGGCGAACCTTTTTCAATAAATGGGTCAAAAAATTATATTTTCATCGCGGAACAGAAGAGAGTGGGTCACAGATATTTAATCAAGGTTTGTATCTATGAGAAACTTCTGAAAGAAATCTCATAAGCTTCTGATGTTCGTGGTGTAGTTTTGAGCTTTACTTATGCAGGACTTCTATCATGGACTTTTTATGGCACTCAATTTTATGAAATTAGAATAGGAAAACACGCATATGAATTACCAAAAACGTTTGGAGGGAATTCCATTCTGATAGTGTTATATTTTTCGATCAGCTTTCAACCACATTAAAGCACTTTTACACTGCCCCCTTGTTATTTCAGATTTCTAGATTTTTATTTCAAGTCTGAAAGATTTTGTTTTCTCAACGGCATTGTGGGCGAGAAACTAATAAAATTCAAAGTAGCATCTAGTTCTCGTATAATTCATAAAACAGTCTGCAGATGCACTTCCTAAGAGACAAGAAGTTTCGAGAAATGAACATTTAATTGCCTTGTTATGTCATAAATAATGTCAGAGCCAATAGCTGAACGAGAATATCGGTCAGAGATCGAAGACTTATCGATCGAAAGTTAGGGGATTCCCCCAAAACACCGCTCTTACTCCATAGTGACACCTTGTGTCCCAACACTAATTAATTAAGAACTCGCTAATTATACGACATAATTCGCCCAAAATAGGCTTCTGGTCCGAGATAAGATGAATGCACATGCAAAATCTTGAGCAGATTCAATCTCACTTTCGTGAGATATCGCGTGCATCTAACAGACATACAGACAAATACCTATCAAAATACTTACCGATTAAAATCGATAAGTAATAACGATACACAGCGGTGTAGACATGCGTCCTAAACTAGGAGTTTTGAAAATTACCATCCCGGACTGGAAATTAACAATTTGCATATGGGCGATCGCAGCCCTGACCGCCCAACTGACGGTGCATAATATTACATTAGTTATTGTTAGAATAATTTAAAGCCTTTTTTTTTCAAATTTTATCACTGATATGATAGCATTTTTTTTTATATATTAATCGTGCCTTGGTGGGTCACGAATAAAATGCGGTGGGTCACTTTGTGACCCACGGGTCAGTGGTTTGCCATCCCTGTCCTATACTGTAGTATAAATTCAAATTAATACGCGCTAAGCCAGAATCCGAAATGCAAAAACTCGAAAATACTTCGCCAAGGTTATTTTGCCTTTGTGACGTCACAATAGTCCTGCGGTAACAATGATAATTCATTATGACGAAACAATTGCACAAATGTGCATGTAATACTAAATCTCCATTTTTATGGGTTTCAGAATTCTTAAAATAAAATTTGAGGTAGCAGACAGGTGCGCAGCATTACATAAATACCCATTTTATAAAAAAAAAATCAAAATCGCCAAAAATGACTTACGCAATTCGGTTATTAGCGTGACGATATGTATTTCCTTACATTTCATTGAATCGATTTTATCTTTTATTTTTGTTTATTTCCACATTTGCGCGCAAAATACTAAATGGTACGTACGCACAAATTTAAACACATCATCTGGCCAGTAATTTACTCAATGTTGAAAGCATGAATTTGCACCTCGTCTCGTGCACTGCAAAGAATGTCTACCTGTATGATATTTCACTAATATTAGTATTTAAATGCAGCGCGTTCTGTTTTTATGTGGAGATAATGCATTCTCAGTTACAAGTGTATTTATAATATCAAATTTCTACACTTTAAATATACTACGGGACAATCATCTAGCTTTGTTGTCCGCTAGAAATACGTAATTATGACAGAATTGAATGATTGGTGACTGTAAGAATGAAATAAAGACTTATGTAAACAAGATTTGATGTTCTATTGCAGCTTTCAACGGAACATGTCAAAGCCAAAATTCAAAAACAAAGCAAGCGTACGTCAACTGGCCATTCAGCGTCAACTGTGATTATTTGAAATCTATTTGGGAAACGAAAACACATAATATTGATGATGATAATATTCAAGTGAGTATAAAATAAAACTTAATACCACACGGAGCAAGAATAGGCGTATCCAGGGGGTGACCCCCTCACCCCAACAAATAACTTTTTCGACGTACATATCTCGAAAAGCAATTTTGTGGCAATTGAAGTGAGGCACAAATTTGTATGGCTCTTCCAATACTATTTTGCTATATTCATGAGCGATTCACTGATAGTGATAACCCGACCTTTTTTGCTTTAAATACTGTCAATCCTTCCTGAAGCAAACCTACCGTGGTAGATTGAATTGCGCGCATGTATACCTGAGATAACATAAAGCGAAGTAAGTCTGTGTGAATCTTTCTGAAGATATCTGTGGCTGCCTATACCTAAACTTGTACGAAACGAAAAGCACAAATATTCGTCTTATAAAAGATAATTTTACAAAATTCAAACAGAAGATTTTCTTGAAAAGATTTCTATTTTGGAAATATTATAAACTTTTCGAATTTACTTTTATTTATAATCATAACTCAATCTTTTTTTGAACACGGCTTCCCTCGTCCAGTAAAATTGTTTGCTATCATTTTATTTTTCTGGCTGAAGAAATAAACTCGACTATGATTATGAATGATTATCCAATATAATATTATATCAATATGTAATATTAGCAATGACATGGTATAGAAAATAAATGTGATAACACTCTCTGCGGAGTAAACAAAACCCACTTGTATGAGTAAATTAGAGATCGACTACGAAAAAGAAATTTGCAGTGATACAAAATTTAGAAATTATTATTTTGAAGAAACGCTGCATTAAGATCTTCGTCTATGTTGAAATCTAAATAGTAATAGTATTGTCGTATCACAATTTAATATAGAATGTATAAAATGATTCTCAGTGAATTATAAATTATAAACAAAGCTGATTGAATGCTTATTTCCATATGTTCATACTTTTTTGTTGCAGTGCATCATTACTCAGGGACACATTGAGATCAACGACACAATTCTAGAACTAGCATCACTTACTGATAACTCGAACTATACTGCTAAACTGGTAAGTTTAGGTTTTTTGATATATTTTTGGTTGCCCTATTATACAGAGGTGTTCATGTTCGTAAGCTTTTTTGAAGATCAAATTTTATTTAGTTAAGTTGTTGTAAACTGCTTTTCTGGGGAGGTTAATTTTTGGTCCGACGAAGCGTTACAGAAATACATTGGTGTTAGTGTGCAGCAGGACTCTTGAATTGCATCGCATATGCCAGGATATTTTTATTCCTGCTACAGCTCATCCTTTCATTATATGCATACGTATCCTCCAACGCAAAGGCATTGAGGAATGATTAGGAGTTAGTCTCGTGTAACCTCTACTGATAGTTTTATATATTTACCTAGTTTTTTTTGTCTCATGATTATGATATTTTCTTTTACAATTTCTAGATTATCAATAACACTATTTGCTTGACAAATAAAGTACAAGTTGTTCTTCGACCTTTCCCGGAAATATGCAAGGTAGGGGTAAATAACGCCATCTCCCGTGAATCTACAATTGGGGATAGCGTGAATTTGAATTGCAGACGTGAGTATAGTTTCTTGAAAAATCGCTTGTATTAAAAATCCCTTATATGTTATTGTACTTGTAACACTGTAACGCTAAAGCATTTTCAACTAAATTTGCAATTGTACTTAAACTATAACTTAATATTTATGTTCTGTTACACGATTTATAAGCGTTAAAAATATGCTTGTTATAGTATCTCTGACTAACTTGCGCGGATTATCAGATTGCGTCTGAAGACAAATAACTGGCCAACTAATACCAAACCCGTCATATACTGGTATAAAAGGGATAAAAAGTGCTATCGTATCCTTATCCTTATATTGTTCGTATATATCTGTTATCAGCGGTTTCATTACATTTGAACCCGCGTACATTTGAACCCATGACAATTGCACCTGTATGCTATTGCACCTATGGAATTTTTTGTGTTTCACGGATAGTTAAACCCATACTAACCCTAACCCATGGGTTTTAGCACCCGCATATAGATTGAATCCGTGGATATACGCATGGGTAAAAATGTACATGGGTTCAAATGTACGGTCACCGTTATCAGCTTATAGCTTGCAAAACCTCTTTTAAAATATCGTATCACAGAATCGAGGTGCATGCCAGCAAGCAATTTAGTCTAATTTCGTTTGTTCTGCATACGATAAAGGCTATCAAAGATAACTATTTACTCGTACAAAATTATTTCAATATAAAGCAAATAAACAGGTTACCTGCGACCTGCGACAGTTTACTCAGATAAAACATCATATTTTGCATCAATAGAGCCAGCTAAGAAGCCGGCTCCAAAATATATCCAGTGGCGGAATTATGGGGATTCGCACGCGTTTCTCGAATATCGTGATGATCTTTATATTTAGCGATTCATAAGTTATGTATTGTAAAGCACGTCATGTTAATGCAGCTGACGTAATGCGATACAAACATTTTTGGAAATAAGGGAACCTGTTGTAATGAATTCAATAAGAAGAGATCCCGTTCCAAATTTTGAATCCCTCCAATGACTGTTGTTAGAGAGTTCGATACAAAATGAATTTGTTTTTAAACATTTTGAATCACACCACTGATTATACCTGTTATTTGTCTTCTAATAAACAGCTCCAGAAGGCGATCCAGATATAATTCCAGCAGGAGCAGATCAATCTAAGTTCAAAACTAGATGGTACGTTAATTGTAAAGATGGAGATTATAGAACTAGTCAGCCATGGACTGAATTTCCGGACCCTGGATACCCGAATGGATTGAATGTGAGTAGGGTATTATTTTATATTTCTTCAGATTATATTACTGAGAAGCTATTGTCAAATTATATAAAGCATTTGTTCCCAAACTGGTATGATTACCCCCAAAAGGGCAATTTGACATTTTAGGAGTTATTCATACGTACACTACATTAGCAATTTCTTATGTAATTCACGTACTTTTTGCTGACCTGCAGAAAATCTGGTTTTGCAGTTTTGAGATCCCGTATATGACTATTGTTACGACTTAATGTAGTCGATCGCACGGTTAGTAAAGAAATAATACCAAAGCTTTATTTTTGATTAAAACATTACCATCCTTCTCACTGAGATTAAATCAGGACATTGTTGTTGTTATTAATTGCAAAACTGCACACGTTGAAAACTCAATTTTTATGAAAGGGATAATTGAGCTTATGGTTTTTCGATTTATGGGTAAGTTTTATTCGCTCAGTTTGGTGCTTTTCAAACATTGTTTACTGGTTAACGTTTCGTCCTGACATTCGTCAATTATTATTTATATCTCAGATGGAATTCAAGAGTAGTACTTATTTTGCTTTGCTACATATATTATGGCACCGTACCAAGAAAAACACTGAACACTGAAATATAAATTCGATGTTTTTTTAGTTTCTCAATTCCAATTCTTTTTAAATGTTTATGTATTTTTTGTGACAAAATCAAGATGTTTTTATTTTTCCATATATTTTATAACGTCCAACGATTTTTTGTAATGTTCTATTTAATATGGGTAAATATCTAAAAGAATGCAGAATAGATTTCAATTCAATATACGTCTTTAAAAGGCAGGACGTACAAACAAGAAAATAGTCGTTTTGTGTTCAATAGAACTTCGGTGACAACATTTTGTATTTTTAGATGCCACGATTGATTTCTACGATGCCGCAAACTTTACATGCACAGTAACATTCGAAGGAAAAATATTGTATGCTGTTACATACGCACAATGTATAAAACGTAAGTTAATTATAACAAAATTACATTTTTTTACCTATTTTGTGAACTTTGCAAGTGTATACTTCCCTTCCCTCTTTTTTAGACTTCTTTCCGACCCAGCATTTTTCTGCACATCCCGAACAAACGTTTCAGAGCCTAAATTCTTTGAAGTAAAAGATTAAATTTATGCACGATTTCAAATTCAATAATATATTTATATAATACTAATTTAAATTCATCTTTTTGAACATTCCTGCGAAACGTTATATTTGATTACATAATTTGGAAAAACACCGCATAAGAATGCATTACTATCTGCTTCTGTACGATAATGAGTATTTGGAACAATATTACACAGCATTGTTATGTAGTCCCGAATAGTATGGAGCAAAATTTCAAAATTTATGAACGATTTCAAATTCATTAATATATTTATATAATACTTATTTAAAATTGTCTAATTTAAACATTTTTACGAAATATTCCGTTGTTCTAGATTCCGATTTTGAAACAACCTTTCACCTAATTATATGTGTTTCATATTTTAAAAAATGTCATATATACTCAATTGAAACGTTTATTAAAACTCTTGTTGAACCTTGAACTTTAGTATGATAATGTACATGTTTAAGTTGGTTGTAACCAGAGATACATTGAACCTTCTTCTCATAAAGAACAAAGTTATTCACCTTGCTATATGTGATTCTAATATTCCAATTTTTACAGAGCGCACTGAGTCCATCAATCCTACAATCACCTGTGTCAATTATGAAACTAAAGCACTCGGTGATACTGCTGTACTTGATTGCGAAGGACAGATAGTATTGGGAAACACTCCGTCAAAACATTTTGCAGTCCTATGGCAAAGGGTATGTTGTTGTTTTTTCTCCTCTTTTAAATAAGTGGTTTCCAACCTTTTCGCTAAATATCTTCTTTTGTCAATTACGAAACTTCCTTCAGTATATACCAAAATCTATTTTCGTTTGTTTCTCGATATTTGATATTATATTAGCAATTTAGGGGTGCATTCTGGGTTTTGTATAGTTTATTTAATTAGTGTTGGGTGAATAATTATCACAGTAATGTTCAATAAATAAAGAATATTATTATTACTACATTAAAAAAGCAATGTAATACACCTACTTCTTAAAAAATAAACTCATTGGGCCGATTTCTCCCCCAGTTGGAAACTCTGCTTGTGACTACTCCAGTAATTTAGCTACCTTTTCTCGTAGAAGATTAACAATTTGGAAGAGTATGCGCTTGTTTTTTTTTTACAAATTAGCATTGGAAGTATTATATTATGAAGAAGGTTACTATTAATAGTGATGAGATATCAATTGTTAGAACGGGTTCTTCTTTACATTGAACTAATTCAGAAAATGTTTGTATTTCACTATACGTAAGCTAATTAATATGATACATTTTACACAAATCCAATACATTCCTTTCGAAACGTCATACATAACGCTAGTCATCAGCTGTGGTGCACTTGCCCATTATCTGCGGTCGTCCAACAAAAAAATTAAATTACAACATTCCAGGCTTCCGCGAATCCATCTATTGGTACTATAACTTTTATGTGTGTATCAATAATATTCTGCCAATATAGTACTTACTTTCAACTAATTTTCATTTTAATATTCAGAACGGTGATACAATTTGCGAAAATAATTTTTTCAACCAGACAAGTTTTGGAGTCTTTGACCAAAGACAATCATGCATCGTGTAAGTAAATTTCCATATTCAGATCATATTTGTGAAGCTTCATTTTGTCATTGGGCACGAAGTGGTCCTATGAATTGGTGTTGTTAGTATTCTTCTTCTAGGTATCCTTGTTGTTGTAGAAAAATATCTCCAACTACTCGACCAGTTGCAATTGAATTTTCATCTTTTTGTTGTCTCTAGAAGAACATTTATTTTAAATATTTCTGTGGGCTCTATGGTGTTTTCACTTTGACATCATTTTTCATATTGCTATGGCTGCTATTGTTACGTAGACCCACTGAAATAAAATAATATTGTGATGCATAATTGTTTCTTCCCAGCGAAAAAACTTCTAATTACCAGCAATGCGTTTAGTGGTAATTTAACTGATACTTTCTATGTTGGCTCTATTTGTCATTTTAAGCTTTTCATATTAGGCCTCTTGAAATAATTTACTATTAAAAACAGCTGGGCTTTAATTTATATAACCTTTAGGTAAATTACCATTAGTTGATTATATTTACCAGGGAAGGCAACAATGACTCTGTTGTTTGTGTCGTTGACGGTGAAAATACGAAGAATGAAGAAATACAACACGAAAGAAAGACAATCGGTATAAAACTCTATATTCGGTAAATACTATTCATAATTATATCATTTTTTCTTAATTTATTAAAAAAAAAAAATAATAAAAATAAAAAAACTTTGGCATCAGATTAACTTCAAATTATAATTAACACGACGTGTGCTTCGTAACAGGAGCGTGCAACCTGCTGCCCGCCCCCCAAATGCGACCCACATAGAAAAATTGTGCGGCACGTGGACAAGTGCCAAATTTGAATGGTGTACGGCCCGCGAGACGAGTTTTAATTTATTACGTGCTGGGAGTAATTCCAATCCCTTTGCATTGCAAGGATATACTTTTTTGCGAATCGAACAGCGCATGTCATAACATCAATAACCGTTTTCAGCCTGTAATTACTAGAAAGCCGATGTTGAATACAAGTGGACCGCGGTTTCAACCAGTTACACAACCCTGCTCTTTAACGTTCGCTTAGCATCACTCTTGCTCTTTTTTCGTATTTCGTATTTTCACATTTTTATTCCATAACTTGGTTTCTACAAGCAGTTTTGGATGGATATGCATCAACTATTTTTATTATTCATATGTTATATGATAAATAGCACATTACTACTAGACATACATTACATTTTAAATGCGGTTCAATTTCATTTCAATTATTGCTGCACACTGAGACAAATGTATTTCTGTAACATCTTCAGATGAGCACATTTCTACTGTTGTTTTCACGAAATTTATTCCAAATGATTCATTTCTTTTTTTTAACAACAGAGACCTGAAAAGCAACGATATGGGCCAATATACTGTCAACTTGGGTTATTTCGATATATCATCTAACTCGTGGAAGATGGATGAGTGGGATGTCAAACTAAATGAAGACAATACGCCACGACTACTTCGACTCATCATGATTCTTAGTATATGCCTGGGTGTGCTGATATTCATTATAATGCTGGTCCTGCTTTATAAAAGATTTGAGATCTACATTCTTGTTGCGTACAAGAGATCATGGCTATGGAAATATGATAGAGGTAAATTCAACCGCTTTGTTCTCATTTTTTGTACTTTATTGAAAATGTTTTATAGAATATAATATTTTCTATATCGTCTTTGAGATATTTTAGCAGTGTTCCTCATTTTGATAGTAATAGAGATTTACACAATAGTCTCGTTAATCTACATAATATGATTTCGAACACTTTTTTATTGATTTGCCTGGAAGATGCGAAATCCTAAATCCTTAAACTAACTGGTCAATTTAACAATAAATATGTTGTCTCGAAAGCGATTAAACAAGCTACTTTCTGTGAGCAATATTTTTACATCAAATGCGTGAGAATCTTATGAGTGTGAATCTCATAGACGCTTAAACTTTTCCTGTGAACCACGGGGTTCAGTGAACCCTATCTAGCCCCCATAGTACGGAAAGTTTTTCTAATTTTTTTTAATAATTCATACCATCGGAGTCAATGTAACCATCTTCATAAACATTTTAGAGAAAGGTAATTTTGGATTGCTATCGAGATTAACAACTGAAAATACAAAAAATAAAAATCGGAAATCTTATATAGTTTATGGCGTTTTTTGTACATATTTTTAAAATAAATTTGCAGTAGAAACTTCTGAATGAGACGCCACTTTCGCAGACCTAGTCACTATACATTATTTAAGTTTTGTCCAGTCTTTTCAAGTTATATTATTTATTTGTCTTGACGTTAAGCTGTTATTGTTGAATCCCAATGAATTTGGATTAAGAATATTCAAATTCAATCAAATAAACGTACATTGATAAATGGTCGTAATGTAATTGATTATCGTCAAATTGTAACAACAGGGTTGGCGCTATATGTATATTTTTGACTGTAAATTTATATCGCGTTGCGAACCCCACTCAATTGTAATTGCAATTTATGAAACATCTATTTTATGTATTTCAACAGACGACAAGCAATATGTCTGCTATCTTTCATATCTATATGTTACTGACACACTTTCTGATGAAAGTCTCAAATCCACCGTCGTATACGCTATTCACAACCTGTTGGAAGATTTGAATTATACATACTATGATGAACAAAGGCAGATTGATTTTACAGGTAATATATTAATATTTCCATTACTTGTATATTAGTAATTTCATTTTGGTTTTCTAATTTTATTCTAAAATATACTTAATTAGCGAACTTTTTTATTTGGAGTGGCTGATTGTTGCAGCGAGCTTAATGTGGATACAATACTAAAATGAGTTGTCAGTATTTTGAGCTCAGAATGGGAAGTTAGGTTTATGTTTGAAACGGTGCTCACGTGGATTTAAATGCATAAAGTTTTTTTATTCATGTCGCTGCGTCAAATCTTCCGCCTTTTGTCCGGTGTTATCATTACTGTAAGGCTATGCGACAAGCTGCATTCTCCTCTCTTATCTTTCCTACTAATCGTTTTGTGTGGTCAGCTTGATGTCTGAAGTTGGTTATATGGTCCATCAACAAAAATATTGCACACCCCTGCCTTATACATTAGTTTAGGCAGCGTTTTATGTTTGGAATTTTTGCTAAAATTATCGAAAAAATTGACGTTGGTGCAAATCCAGAAACCAATTTTGTTTTTTCAGTTCAAGTTGAAAGAATCACAAACCTTGTAGAAAGATGTCACCGAATGGTTTTTGTCTTGACTCCTGAATATCTAAATGATCGCTGGATGAGATTTCACGCGGAATTGGTAAGTTTAAGATTTTTTATAAATTTTTATTATTTTTTGTCATTTATTTCAAGAAAACGCAAGACAAGGCTGGTAGAATTAATGTTCGATAGATCTGGTATGAGAATAGTTGACCGGGCATTTGCTCCAGTTTTACCTAAGCCGACGCTGACTCGGCAACGAGCTCCCGCAGCACAATCACAAAAAGTAGAAAGGTGATATTTACGCTGAACACGCTGCGCCAAGTGTAGACCATATAGTGATCACGGAACCCTCACAGTCGGATATAGTGCGTTTTTCAAGCTATTAACTATAACTTTTGGATAGAGTGCTACACTATTAGGCCTATTAGGGTTATTACTTTCATCAAATTTGCTGCACTCTAAATATTTTTCTGTCCTTATTAGGTTTGCGTTTATATACATTTATAACTTACATAATTCAAACAATAAAAAACGATTGTAATTCTGTTTGTTTTTGAATGTTTCATTGGGGTTCTACTTGAAGACCACTGCGTAGATATTAGCATAAGAATGATGCTCTCTAAAAACATTCTAAGAACAAATGTCACAAACTTTCGATCGAAACCATTGTATTCATTATATCTTTGTTTCACAGGGTTTTCATGGACTTCTCGAGTCTCAAATGGGCCTGATATTTATTCTCACTCCGGGAACGAAGAGAGTGCTGAAGAAACTAGCAAGGACTGACAAAGTTTGGCAAAGGCTTTTGATTGCTATCAAGGTAATAAATTTCTCGATGTTTAAGAATTTATTTCATGTGCTTATTACGATAAAGTTAATGGTTTTTTAAAAGTTAATATTTTTTTAGATCATTGAGTTATTTTAGATCAATTTAAAGTTAATATAATTCAAATCTAACAATATTATAAAAAATGCCTCATAGTAAAAGCATTACAACGAATTTGAATTGATATTATTTAATGCGATACGTACTTCTACACCGCACGAAGTTTTTAGTGCACCGAATTTAAGCTCCACGTAACGCATTACATTCTATTCCTGACATGGGCAAACTAACGCCCGCGATCCGAATCCGGCCCGTTGCGTAATTCAATCTGGCCCGCCGGATGATGCCACAACCAAACTGAAACAAATAGTGATGTTTTACTTGAAATAATAGCTCAAGGAGTTTATTGAGATTGCGATTGAGTTTAGTTTGTTTAAATTAGCATATTGTTCTCCACTTTTGCTTTTGTAACACTGTAAGAATTTTTCATAAAATGTAACTTATTACGTCACACTCACATGGCCCGCCAGTCCAGGTAGGGCAACATTTTTGGCCAAAAACCTTCCCCACCCTCGGAGAGTCCTATATAGAATTGTGGATTTAAATTGTTTATATTTATAATTCTTGAAGTTTAACAATATCAATACAGATGTGGTATCAACTCGTAATATTCTGCGTGCTAACAATAAATAATTTTTAACAGACAAACCATGTTATAAAATGGAGAGAAGGAATGAACGAAGATAAGTTGAAGAGAAACATCGAATACAGACTTCCAAAACTTGCTCGAAGAATTAAAAAATTACCTGGTTCGGATTCGAGCTCGACTGATGGTTGTAATCCAGATTATACTAGATCTGTGAGCCAAACCACAACTCATACAATGGTGTCGGATGATGGGGCTGCACAGGGTGACCCTAGACTGTGATGTGATTCTGAACATTCCATTCACCTCAACCTTTGTTGGACAAAAATTAAACAAGATGGCGGAATTTGAATTTCGTCTGAGATGACTCTAATAATTCATTATTCAATTCGAAATCACCAGCCCTACTACAATGCAGACTGAACAGAGATTTTTATATCTTGACATTACATAACAATGTTGAAATGTGTTTATTATATGAGACTGAGTATTATCTTTATTATTATTTTAATTGAGTTAAAAAGCTTGGAAAAAGTTTTATTTCCGTAAAACATTTTCTGTACACCATCCTAAGCTGTGAAGTATTTTTCAATTTAATTTCTTTCGCATGGTTTCACAGACTTGATATTCACCATAACACATTGGCATTCCAAGGGACTTAATTTATTTAGGCTATACTTTGATATACTGGTTAAGCCGGACTGATATTCAGTAAGTTCGCATTGTTTATTATAATACTGTTTTATTTTTTTTATTATATCTGTTCCACTTTAGCTTTTATCGTGTGCCATAGTTTATTAAAAATATATAGTATTTAGTATTATTTCAAATGTGAGGTTGAAAGTGTTTGAAGCTACAATCCTATTTTTTTTCTTATTTCTATGAGACTGGGCACTCTAAATAAAATACTTAAGTACTTTGCCCCCAAATAAGCCTTAGTTTATTAGCTTGTATTGCATAGGTCCGATCATAGTTTGGTGAAGTATCGCAAGTAATAAATCATTGGTTTCAAAGTATACCAAAATTTGGTTCTGAAATTACTTGTTATCCGAAATTTAGTCCCGTTCTGACTATTTGTTATAATTTATGCATTAGTTAAAATGTGAAAGCTTAAACGTTGATTCTCGATTTGAAAGTTTTTTTTATTCACTGTGTTATTCAATATATAATGCAGCCGCAAAACTTTGTGCGGCATCACTCGATTCTAGAAGCCATTGCAATAGTTTTAACTCTTTTTTTATTATATGTTCTCTGAGGAACTACGCGATAAATGATTTATATTTACAGGGGGTGAGGAGCCGTTTTTCATTATATCAAATGCATAAATAATAATTTTCTCATTATTATGAAAGATTTTGATTTATTTGAACAATTTAAAACTGATTTATACAACAATTTTTTGGGGTCACATCTGTATGAAATATTTCTTGGAGACCTAGATGATAAATAAAATATATTAAATGTTCGTTTTGAACACTATTTCTTTCGTGTCGAATGAATAAATGGTGATATATTTTATATCGCCAATTTGAGAAGTGTTAAATTAGGCTGAATGATTGAAAATCGATTTATGCAAGTTTTTTGAAGCCGCAATTTGCATCTGCAAAAATTTCTTTTCATGATTTTTGTGTTCTTTTATTCTAGATTTTTAAGTAATGCATTTTAGCTCAGCAACGTGCGTTCTATTTTAAGTTTTGCTTATGAAATTGTAACCTGTGAAACATTCTTCTGTCCAACAATAAATTGTATAGATATGATATATTTTGAACTCCATATTCCATCAAATATGAGATTGGTTGAAATACTGAAATGTTTTTCAATCGTTGTATATCAATATATAATAATATATTAATACATATAATGCAACTACTCATTCTTGTAAATATGCCATGTTTCTTTCTCACTCTGTTTGAAATATATTTGAAGTATTTTTTGAAATATATTAAATCTTAAAATGGGTGTTGTCTCTTTTCGCTGCAAAATATTTAACGTGCGTTTTTAAACAATATCTTGGGAAATCGCATACTTCAGGATAATATGACTAGCATCACGCTTTACGGTACGTCATATTTTGAATTTTACTTGGTATAAGTGGATTCACATGGTTTCATTTTAATTTATAAAAATAATTTATTTATAATTTTACTGACTTTGCTAAATTCACTTATTGTTCTCGTGGTATAAATCTAGGTTCAATCGCATATTAGTTTCTATTATGTTGATCCAAATTCAGTACCCAAACGTCAAATTAATCATCATCATGTGTTTGCCTCCTTCCTTCCACCGAAAACTTTCACAAAATTAGCAGACTTGTGTGTGTTAAGTATGTTACCTATGTGGTAATAGCTAATATTCAATGTATTAATCATCGAGCATCGAATCCCTTGAATACTTCCCTAACGTTGACTTATCAGCAAAATATCAACGGTACGTGACAACAGAAGTTTAGATTCCATTCAGACACATATCAGTTATTAGTGATCTTCCCGAAATTAAGTATACCGTACATCAAATAACTCAATGATCATTTTGTCTCCCGGAGAGGTTTAATTTAGTTGCAATAATAAAAAATTAATCGCGTAAAAGCTGTGATACTTTTAAATGGTTAATGGCGGTTAATTATATAAAATAATATGGTGTTTTTATAAGTAAAGCATTTTATAAGTCTGAAACACTATCAAAATATTGCAATGGTAAGATATACGAAGCAATTTTTGTGAAAATAATAAATGAGTCAGTCCGTTTGTTGGTAAGTCAAATAATTGGAAAATGTATTTTTCTACAACTTAAACACCAAAGAAAATTTCGAATTTTATAATTGTCAATTCAGTTTTTTAAAATTACTGCTGCAATTACAATTGATTCATTTACTTATCTGTTCTTCACAGTTTTATCCTATTCCCCGGAGTGTATATTGCTTGGGTTAAAATAAATATCACATGATTTGAACAAATTAGCGCTGTCTCGTCCCACTTTATTTGGTTTGGTGCATTTGCCTTATTCCTATTTGCGCTTTTAGTATACACTGTTTTTGTCCATCTTACATTTTGAATGAACCAACTTTTTATAACTCACGTTTGACAAACTTTGCATAACAGTCTTTACGTAACATACCTTAACATAAATGCACCACATTGGCAGTCGATAATTTTTGTCTTTGCTTTTTAAGGAGAAAAACACTGGCTACTCTAGCCTACTATAGTAGAAGATCTTTGCATGTAGATCAGTGTTCCCCAAACTTTTTTTGCCTGCGCCCCCTTGGACGACTTTTCACCTAGCAAACGCCCCCCTGACAAAAAAGTCACAGCAACTCAATTCTCCGTTTATCATTAGTATAATGTGAAGGCTGAGCCTAGCGAAATGCCACCAGTTTGATAATATCTGGCTTCATTTCAGTCAAAAACAGTCTTAAGTCTCCTCGTCTGACACTGTCCAGGGAATATCTCTTGATATGTAAAAGTGCGGTCATTGCACTAAATATTCGCTCTACCAAGAATGAGCTGGCAAAAGCAAAAAAAAAAACTTTTAACCCAATCTCACTCGTGAGGATACCTCAGCCTGCTGCTGTTCCTAAAAGAGGGATCATTGAACATGAGTTTGAAAGTATAAACCCAATGGTAGTGTTGCATTTTTGCTTCTGGAAACTCAGGGCTATCTAGGAAACGGAAACCAAAAACTTCTTTACTATCTCCAGTAAAATTATTTAATTTTATTTTCTTTTGAACTTGAGTCCAAACGGTGAATACAGAACATTTGTGCTGAGAAAAATCTGGACATTACTTGAGGGATTGCTAGAGGTGACCAGCAGTGGTTCAAGCATGGCGAGGTGACCCCCCCCCCCCATACATCAAATCAGACCCTTGCTTTCCTGAGAGAGAAGTCAGCAGTGACATCCAGTGGGTACCTTAGTTATCGAACTAAGATTTTGATATGTAGGGAGTTCGAAGGACAATTTGTATCAGAACAATCATCAAACGATTGGTGAAGTGAAGGCTGCAATTGCGGAAATAAAATAGAGAAATACCCAAAGAAGGGTGATTGACAATGTTGCAAAAGTATGCAATTGTCGGGCATTTGGAATATATTCTAGGAACAACATAATTTTTGTGCGAAACGTCCCAGATTTACCGACACTTTTGGGTACAAACATACGCAAACATAAGTTCAAGTGTAAACAAAATTAAATATTTCACTCCATTTTCGTATAAGTAATCGAGAAATTGATGATTTCGTTTTTGGGGACCACGCTGTATAATACTGTTTTTAATATAAATCGGTTAAATATGCTGCTTAAGTCAATGTATTCCATATTTTGAACTTACACAATACAAATGATAAACCAACATTAAACAATGTCAGACACAACATGATAGAACAACAGACTATATCTTTACTTTTTGCCAATTTATGTATTACTTATGTAGCCTTATTATTCAATGACCCAAGAAATAAAAATGAACCAGTTAAGTCGCAACATGATGTGGTCCTATCTGACGTACGTCAGTTCAATCAGATGCCCAGCTCTCACGTGTTGCTCTTAACAAAACCAAAATTATAACATAAGGGTGTTCTACTTACACTATCGCTCCAAAGCATCATATAACCCGATAGTAAAATGAAGTTGTTATTCGAAACAGTACCATGCAACGTACAGCGCCGTATGCGCTATGTATAATTGTGAAACAAATAGGATTTGAAAAAGTCATAAGGATTTGTAAAAGTCATAATATTCTACGTTGAGTGAGAAATTCCCAACACCGAAATCACAGGAAAACTAGTTTGAATCAAAACTTAGGCTTATAAGCATAATATATCATACGAGTTCTCGTATTGATGTCAGCGCCCCCCCCCCCCCCAACTGCCCAGTCTGACAGCCAGCGCCCCCCCAATTGCCCAAATCGCCATCAACCCCCACCGAAAGGTCATAAATATACTTATTATTTTGTGTAAAGAGATTATGTTATTCATATAAACTTATTACTCTGGGGGTGGACTAGAGTATTGCGTACTGAATTGCAAGACCTTTCTTCTTGTTCACATTCTTTTGCCGATCCATATGTGTCAGTTGCCACAAGGATGCTTGAACGAGATAGTATTATGATGATAAATGTGAATAAAATAATCTCATTCCACAAATTAGTAAGTTTTTTTATGAGCTTCTGTTAGATCATAGTCTAACTTCCCTCAAATAAAACAATCTGAAGAAGTTAGACTATGATCTAACGAAAGCTCATAAATATACTTATTATTTTGTGGAAAGAGATTATGTTATTCATATAAACTTATTCCTCTGAAATATTCTGAAACTTTTGGAGAAAATGTCGGACATGTTTGTAAGTGAATCTCAGCAATCTTTTTTATCGATTTGTGCCGTAAACAAGGATTTGCTGTGTAGCGCTGTTATATTGTTACTTATCGATCTTAAGATCGGAGATATACGAAGAATAGAATATTCCACATAACAATGTAATAAATGATGTCATTGGATCAAGGAATTATTCGCTATTGTATTATATTCTCACGCATATTTGTATTGGATTTTCTTGTAATTGAAAATTAATGACATACAAAAACAAGTGGAATAAGTTAAAATTTGAAACTAAACTCATCATAGCAAGTTGTTTTACAATGGTATATGAATATCCGATTGCGTTGCGCAGTATCAAAGATGTCAGTAAACATTACAAAGTTTATAAATGACATTCCAAAACAGGTTACGCTCTAGTTCAGGGGATCTCAACCTTTTTTTTGTCAAGTACCCTCCGAGTCACGAAACAATCAACGCGAACTCCCGGTAATCAGACATCGAACAAACTTCGTGTTACAGTCCCTGAACGCACAGTTGAACCCCATGAGGGCGCTGTCGCTTGTATTATGACTCTGTGATATGTTGTGATTTTGTTTTTCTGTTAATTTAATGTCGCTGACCTGATGACTGTCACAGTCTTTTGTTGCGACTAATTATCTATTGCTATGAATCTCTCACTTGTATCAATTCTTATGTGTATAATTACATTTGTTACGATTGTCATTATACACGTTTGTAAATTTCCGTGCTTCTGTGTTGATTCTTGCATGATAGAAATAAATCATCTGAATCTGTGATATAATGACTAACGATTTGTTGAAACAGCAATTTATTGACGAGATGTAACTAAATTAAATCTTCGTGTTGATATTATTGTCCTTGTCCTCCGCCCAACTAATTAATTCTTAAAATCTTTCCCAAGTTTTAATAGGCATAATCACTTTCTCCAATGCTCGCAGTACGCTGTCGTATAAGATTTCACAGTTTGGTTGCAAAGCCGTGAATTTCACATTGTTGCGTCATAATCGCAATCGCAACATCAGGAAAAATCTACGATTCAATTGGCATTTAGTTTCAATCGACACGCATTTTCCTCTGATGTAATAAAGGATATTAAAAAACAACAACACACAAAAACCCGACTGCCGTCCAAGTACCCCTGGATATCTTCTCGTGAACCCCTGGGGATTCGCAAACCCCAGGTTGAGAACCCCTGCTCTAGTTGGAGAAATAATCGCCTTTGTTGCCAATATCTTATTACTACTTTAAACTACTCATTGTTTTTAACATTCGCCGTATTCTATAATATCAAACTGTGATTCATGATGTGTGACAACTGACAAGTTATTTAATGTGCGAACCTGGGTAAAACTGAATTATAATTTGTTCTGGAATGTTTTTGAGTTAGATAAGGCTGATCTTAACGCTTTGGAAAAATATTTGGATCTTTTGTACCAAAGTCCTACAAAAAAAAAACAAAAAAAAAACGCTAACGATCAAAATGAAAAAATTAGTAATTATCAAGTTAGGGTTAGAAATGCAGATTGCGGTTTAAATTCAAAAAACCCTAACTGGATAATTAGGCTACTAATTTACTATTTAAAAACGTGGCGGTGGTGTTTTTCTAAAATATCACATTTTTGCATTAATGGTGGAACTTTGTACAAACTATCCAAATATTTTTCCGGTTAGCAAGTCGGTGAAAATACTATTTACATTCTAGGAACTAGAATTGAGCTATCCAGTGAGCCACACATAACGTTTCACGCATAACGTTGGGAACTCCCCGTAAGGAACAGTGGATACTTTCTTTGTTATTCTCTTTTTATATTGTATGACACTACAAAGCCAATCGTGCGTAAAAATGAACGCATGTTCATTTATCAAGTTCAGCTCGCAGTGCGTGAGCGCACAGCAGATTGGTAAAGTGTATGAGTTGGCTGTGTATCCCAATAGACATTTATTTTTAGTTACAAGTTGGTAGCGTAAAGGGCAGATTATTTTGATTAGGTTGGATCTGTTATGTACATATAAATGTAAAGTTTGATGTTAATTTTATTATTTTTATTATTATATATATATATATATTAATATATATATATATATATTGATTTATTCAGTTGAAGACTAGCCCAGACAAATGTCTTGTTGTACGGTTTTAGTGCTGTCAGACTGTAGTAGTTCAGCTTGAGATGCGGCAAATACGATGGTGAAATCGTCTTCGCAAAGATTAAGCAAGTTAGATCGCTAGCAGAAATGACTCTGTTAGATTTAGAAGGTATATATTACAAGACGGAGGTGAAAATATGTTTTTTTTTTGATAAAAATCAATCTCAATGCTGCAACGAGTTGTGTTATATGGTTCAGTTTTAACTGTTCACTAAACTGTTACCAGATTGCTTAGCGCGAAGTTGTTGAGCCTCGAAGAAGGCATTGCCTTTCTCCAGCTATGGTCGCGCTTGAAATTTGAGGTAAGTTCCTAAAGCATAAGAAAGCGAGTCCGTGTTGATTAGGACTTGGTATCAGATCAGGCAAGTGTCACGTAAATTATATTTGACGATTCAATGGATACTATGATACATTGACAAATTATTCGGTAAAATACTACTATCAGACTTTTATTCAAATATCGGTACGATACTTATCAAAGGATTATCAAAGGATACTTCTGAAAAAAAGAGTGTAACATATATTGTTAATCTGATATTGACTATATTCTCACAAATTGTTCCTTGTCTCGAAATGACCAACTTTGATCACTGTGTAGGACGTAGGTAATAGAATGGATTTTTTTTGGAGGCTCATTCGCCGTAAACGTATTACTCGTATTGGCGTCGCAATCAGGGGCGGACACCCGGGGGGCGGAGAGGGGCGGTCGCCCCCCAAATAATTTCGAAAGAAAATTTAATAAATGTTGTTCCCTCCTTACAAAATTTTACAATAACAACTCCTTACAATAATGTAGACCAGAGCGCCTTCGGAGCACCTCACATTTTCGTGAAACATGCGCGCCCGCACGAGTAAAACTCCGTCTTCAAACGCACCGCCGATCACGCGCCCCGGTTTTGCACAACTGATTCATTTTTGTACAATTTAATATGGTTTCCTCATTGTCAATTTGTCCTCATTGTTGGCACTTGCGAGAGAAGTGAAAGAGGCAAAATGTATTTCATTACAACAATTAATTATTATCGTTAAAAAATTAACTAGATCTAAAGTTGTTATGAACAAATTTTCAAAGCTGGACGTATCTTTTCACGTTATGGATTTTGTGCAAGGCCCAGCATAATTTGCGGGCAAAGATCAAAGCATTTACTGTGTGGAAACGCCGATTTGACTTTTCAGATCACAAAAACTATCTAAAAAAGTTACCCCCCACCCCTTCTGAATTTTTTTGAAAACTGAAAAAGTCGCCAATAACGCGTGCAATTGCCTTTTGCTAAAATCGCCGATTGTTTTTCATCATTGTGACCTATTATTTAGGTCGTAAACGCCTTTACGTTGGCGTTTATCCTCTCTAAATCACAAATTTTCCACAAATTTGTGACACGACGACCATAAGTTGAAAAGCGGCAATATAAAATACTAAAATTAAAACTGTGAACAATATAAGTTTTGTTGAGGCCTGCGACAATCTAAAAACGCTTTTCTAGGCATCAAAAATCGCAAAATTCCGTGTGGCTAGGCACAAATTACAAATTATGTTTGCTTGACCTTTAAAAAACATTTCGTCACTAAAATCAAAACACGGTCAATTGTAAGCGGGATTTACCTTTTTATCCATTAATTTTAAATTGACGTCGAAAATCATTTTTTGTTGAAAAAGTCGGCTCTTTTAACAAGTGGCGTAATGGCGGCGACTGTTCCGCGTGGATTTCGAGGCCGGGAATTTGTATTTTTGATTTACTGGTATACTTTATAATTATTTTCATTGTATGAAGTAAAATTGTACTATATGGGATTTTATATCAGATATCGAGATTTTTGTAACGGCGATAACGAGTTCGGAAGATTGCAAAAATACGTATCAAAATTAAATACATCAGGCAGCTTATCTCATATTTTTATATCCCCATATCGCCGTGGTATTTAGTTTAGTAATATTTTTGTTCTGACGTAAGAAGTCGCAACTGCGAGTTACGTTGCACACAATTAAATTAATATATAAGGACATTTTTGAATCTCGTGGCTGTCATGGATTGAATATTTTACGCGACAGAAAAATTATTATACGCTTAAATAGGCGGCTTTTTTAACGAGTGCGTAATCGCGGTGTTTGTTGCAGACGGCAATGGGAAGTTCCGACTTTGACCTAAATCGGCAATAATGGAAATTTTGCTAGTCAAATGATAATTCCTTGGTAAAACTTAGGAAAAAAATACGCACAATAGCTTGTTACCTTGTTTTGCATTTCTAATTTTACGAAACGGCGTTAGTGCGCTTTATGCAGAACTAGGAATTGAAACAATAACCTAATACGACTCCTCAAATTTGTTATTTTCTGTTTGTTAGCAAGAGCCGTGGGCTAATTCTCGCGGAATTCAAGAAATCGGTTTTGTGACACGCAAGGTCCGTGTCTAAGCGAAGCATCCTAGGTGCTCGATATATGAGTAGCAAAATGACATTCTAATACTTAGAGAATGACATCGACAGGTGATTGTTACGTGACGATACACGGCGCGGTGTTTTTAGGTAGGCGATCCAAGTTCGCTCCCCCAGAATTATGGAAAGTGTCCGCCCCTGGCTGCAATAGATAAATAGTGTATGCTTCAAGTTAGAGGTTATCAGGCAGAAACATATGAATTTAATGAATTGGTAATTGGTAAGAATTACAAAGGAGTTTGTCGATATCTTTATAGTCATGTGACCAAATCAACTGTTTCAAAAAATCAGATGAAGAACCTTATAGACATAAAACTAAAAAAATAGATTATACGTAAAACATTTCATTACAGGGGCAATAATACACTTCAAACCAGAGTGGTATTTACCAAATTTAGATCAAATCCACTTTCCACAGTATGACCTTCGAATCATTAGGAATTCAAAAGATGTAACAGTTCCAGCAGAATTTTAGCTATTTTTGTAGTATTGCGAGCCGTGTGATTCAAGATTTGTGTGATATGTCGATGAATGGGGGAAATTCGCGGCCGTTTTTTAATATTTATGGCAGTAGCATGATGACGTCATGAAATATGACGTCAATAAATGTCATTCCTAACAATGGAATTCTTCGTTCGAACCCGGAAGTTTGCCCAACTCCGAAAATCAGTGATAAACTGCGACTTTTTTTAGAAGTTTAATCATAATAAGCACTCATATATATTTATGTATTTGGACATGTATAGATCCAGAGGGCTTTTAAAACCAGATACCTCAATTCCATTTACGTATGATATTTCGCGGCCATTCACAGGAAATAACCGTTGTCATTTCATTTGCATGTTAATGTGATTTAAGCAGAGTCTATCGTGTCCTGTGGTTTTTATATAAATGAATTCAATGCGTAGAGTGATTCGTAAATTTAAATATGACTTTACGTTTCGATCTGGACTTTACCACGTTTTACAAATTACTAAAGAAGATTCTAAATTAAATTATTGCCAAATATACTGCTGCGTTCATGAAATGTTGCCGAAAGAAGAGGTACGTGTTCGCTCACCCAAATTAATTGAAACACGCACGCACACACACACACATACAATCACGGAGACATAATAAAATTAGAATTTATCAATGTGCGATTTATCAATGGTTACCCATTCATTGCGGAAATAGCGAGGCCGCACTGAATTTTCCACATGACATACGTGCAATTTTTCTCGGATATATTATTCACGCTATGGATTTTTTTGTGTGAAATTGATCATGTGTTCGGGTCAGAATGCGTGTCAAAATAGAGCGATGTACGGTTTATGATAAGTTGTAAAATAAATGAACCTAATATGTGAATGACTTCACACATTTTAATAGTGTCCTAGAAAAAACAGTTCGCGATTCACCAATGATGATACTCAAGTGAGTACTTTACAATAACTTCATTATGGGACACGCTATTGTTTATCTTGATTCGTGACTAACAGAACACTGCTATAATTATATCGCTGATCTGCGCCGAGTTGCGAGGGGATTAACCAAGCTATCATGACAAAAGTATTGTAACAATAAACACAACTGTGGACGTTTTTCTTCACAGATCAAATACCAGCACAAGTTTCGAAAGTATTTCCAATTTGTTTTGCGTTGCATTCTACATTATGTATATTTAGCTCGCTAACATTTATGTTTTATCTGATCTTTTCTGAGTTCGGTATTCGTTTTATTCATTTTAACAATTCCCTAGAATTTCCAGTTTCAATATTTTACTTGTCAATAATTTATTAGTTCACTGGGTATATATAATCTAATTCTCAGATTTTATTGCAGAGATATCATGTTGGTTCTCACGGATCACCGTGTAATGCTTGAAACTACTCTATGTAATATTGTTATCTCATCTGGGACTAATTTTCTCCGAAGACTTTTTCTTCAGACAACCCAACTTGTTATTTTCGTTTCTGTTTTAGAAAAGAATCATTTAGATAAATATATATTCTCAAAACCGAAAACCGTCTGTTTTAAAGCATTTGGATTGATAATTCCGTTTAATAAGTTCTTGAAAAGAAATCGTGGGAACGTTTTTCGGCATGTAATAAAGTAAAATAAATTCGACTGCTTCAATCTGTTGACTGTTAAATCATGGGAGGATGCACGACGTTATATGTTGGTAGATATGTAACAACAAATCCAATGACGTCAATAGGTCGGGTTGATAACAAATGACAGAAATCGGTGTGTATTGGTTTTACGGACGGTGTGACGCTGATTACTGAAATTTAGCGTTAAAACAAGGGGGAGAAATTGTTCTGTTCATATTGATGTTTCTCTCAATACGATATAAGGGCCTACAATTCAGATCGTATTAGTACCTAGAATTATGAGTTAAAATTTAATATTTGCTGTGAACTGAGGTGCTTTTTGAAAAGAAAAAAGAATATGCTTTTAACCAGATGTACGTTCGACAGCGTTCCAGAAGTGTATGTACCAATAAGGAAGTAACTAGTTTTGTTCGTCTACTTTACATCAAGTTGAGTGAGAGGACTGACACATATGGACAGGTGGTATATTTACTTGGCTAAAACAGACAATCCCCGAACTCGTAATAGGAAAAATCGGAATAAAATTAAGGCCTAACCTCAACCTGGTACATACTACGGGAGTACCCGTTCGACTACAGAGTAAATACGATTCTTATTCACGCCCTTTGTTCTACACAACAGCAACTGATGAACCCGAAATGTCTTAACGCTTTGACCGCTAGGCCATCGCGTTTTACTAGTAACTTGAATTTTAAAGAATTTATTGTAAATTGATCAGTGCGCATTGTAGTCAGTCCTTATTTACTTAAAGAGCCTAGACAAATATTTTGCAGGCATGGGATGTCAGAAATAAAATTTAATAGACATATAAATTGGAAACGAGCTTTTGTAGTATTCAGGGTCATTCGTTAACGGTTTAATTACGTTTTCATTTGTGATGTCAGTTATAGCAAAGATAGTTATTCATTCGTTATCAATTTAGGCCGCGTGTCTGTTTACCTTCAGACTCTTAAGTCACGTAATACGATTTTTCAGTGGTGCCCCAATTTTTTTTTGACCTTTTGTCCATTTTAGAACTCTTTATTCCTCCTTCTCTAGTACTCAAAAAACTACTTCATTTGTTCAATCTTTAGTTCTTTAGCAAGAGTTATACGCAAGTCAAGGTCCCGCTTTTGTGCAGTATAGAAAGTTTAAAATGTGTGCTTAAAGAAGTGTTATAGTAATAATAAAGTACTGAATTATATCAGCAACACTATAGCAATTACAAAGCAAAACTCTTCCAAAAACCACAAAATACCTTAATTCTTGACTCAAAGCACAAACTTTCCCAAGACTGCAGGAGAAAAGCCTCACAAAAACGCGTTAAATCAAACGCTTTATTACGAATAAATATTGAAAAGATAATAAACAGACAGGCACGTTGGAGAAGGGGATTCTCTATTCTATGAATAACAGCGATGTTCTTAGTGCTTAGTGTTCGTCTTAGTGCCAGGTCAGTCCATCAACTCGGAAATATGGCATGAGTACATAGCGGATCAGACAAAAATAATAACGACCATTGTAATCAATATCATACTATAGATGGGGTTAAAACAGTCTCTCATACTTTAACAATTCAGTTAGTACGAAGAATTCAATTTTTGAATACTTTTAGTTGATAATATTATTTTGTATAATTTCAGGATAACATTGTTTTTTCCTAATATAACTATCGTTTTGAAATTTCGTTACTCAAAGATAGAAGTCGCAAGAAAGCTGCGTAGCCCATACTTCACCTGGAATTTTTGAATTTTGATACGTGATTGTATGCCGATGTTTTACAGTCTTTTCTAATGATTTTCGCCTAAGTGGGTTTTGGTTTGAGATCAGGAGCCAAAACAATTGTTTGTAACATTTTGTCTTAAGATTGGAAGAATCTGTACATTTACGCCCTTTAGCTGCCTATATCCCTGCGGTAAGCCATACTGCAATGACCCGAATCAACAGATATAGCAGAAAGGTTGAAAGTACACAGCCTTCGTTTTAAAATCCACTTTAAAAAATAAGCACGTCTTTGATGCATATCACAACAGTCTATCATATTTGTTTATATGATTATATTACAATCCTCCCAATTTTCCTAATAACTGGAAAAAAGAGACGTGAGGCCATGCATGTCAACGTATCATTAAACTGAAATTTTTGTTATATCATCACTTCAAAATTGTCGAAATTATTGGTAGTTACTTCAGTGTGGAATTGCAATTTAACTGTAATTTTTTCGGTATTCTCATTTTCATTTATGATGATTTTAATCAGGTCTTCGATAGTTTTCAAAGACTGTACAATTATGCTTATCACAGAATTTTACATACCAATATTGACCAAAAATATAGGATTTCTGTTTTTTTTCAATTACGCGACACATTCCCAGCAACCCTGTTTCAACCCAAAATGGTATTTCAAATCAGATCCTTTTTCAATCATTTTTGCCCACCATAGAAGATTTTACATACCGGTACTTACAGTGACCAGAATTGTAGACTTTTTTTTAAAAAAATTTCAACATACTTTATAATTACTGAGTTTTGCTCAAAAAGTACCAATGATTTAAGGATTGCATTCTTATTTGAATAGAATTCCCCCGTATTGAAAATCGAACTTACTGATTGAAATCGAATTGTGCTTTCCAGGACTTATGAATAAAAGAGTCGATCAAGAGTGATTCAGCTTTCTTTTCACTGTTCGGTGACTTGAAGATAGCATTGGAATAGTACAGTAAGCAGAAATGCATTTCAGTTTATTTGCCTGAGAACCATTAAGTAGTTCTCTCGTTGCCAACGAATAAAAAGGAAGATAAAAATTGATATTCATGAAAAATGTGGATTTTTTTGTATAACTCTCAATAGCGCATATCAGACTTGTAAAATGCATTAAATCCCTAATTCTCTTAACGAAGTTATTTTCTGTTATGATAATATTGACACGAAGTATGCTCTTGAAAATTGTTTCTCGTGTAACATAACGAAAGAACTAATATTTGGATAATGCAGTAAAACAATAACAAATTGTTCTATTTCATATATTTATTTTGTTTCCCTCTTCATTATAATACTTTTAAACAAATTGAAACAACAACCAATTTTATCTTCATTAAAGTGATTATCGGTGTAATTTGGAAATAATTACAAACGGGTTTAGTTTGCTAAAAACAATTTGAGTTGAAGAGAGAAATTCTTCAAATTGGGTCGTTTTAAATGAATGTTACCAGATATCCAGAATACTTGCATAACATCGGGCTATAATTTCGCAAATAAAGCTATAGTATGTAAATGAAAGATGAAGTAGAACATGACCTATGAACCAATGATAATCACCAACCTGTTATGAACCCAACAAAAAATGTCGCTACTTGTTTGGTTCCCTTCTTTTACCCATCTATGTTTCTCAAAAATACGTTTAAATTTCTTTTACAGAACAACGTTTCAATGAAGCACAATTCTTATTTTTCTTACATCCTACTTGCATTGTTTATGTATTTATGGAGTTCGGTAGAAGGAGAAGGTTAGTAATATTTTTCTTGGTCGTAAAGTTACCGTAGTTTGTTTGTAAACGTTATGGCTTGAAATCGGAATCCTGAAAGGTTTTATCCTCATCGCTTTTATTATCTCAATCCACCTTACTCTTCATACCATAGCATATTTATTTTACTTTACGCCCGTAATTAAGGAATTTGCGATCCTTTATTTATTGTAATTGATATATGTATTTCCTTACATTTCATTGAATCGATTATCTTTCATCTTTGTTTATTTCTACCTTCGCGCGCAAAATACTAAATGGTACGTACGCACAAATTTAAACACATCATCTTGCCAGTAATTTACTCAAGGTTAAAAACATGAATTTGCACCTCGTCCCGTGCATTGCAAAGAATGTCTACCTGTATGATATTTCTTTCACTAATATTAGTATTTAAATGCAGCGCGTTCTGTTTTTATGTGGAGATAAATGCATTCTCATTTACAAGTGTATTTATAATATCCAATTTCTACACTTTAAATATACTACGGGACAAACATCTAGCTTTGTTGTTCGCTAGAAATACGTAATTATGAAAGAATTGAATGATTGGTGACTGTAAAAATGAAATAAAGACTTACGTAAACAAGTTTTGATGTTCTATTGCAGCTTTCAACAGAACATGTCAAAGCCAAAATTCAAAAACAAAGCAAGCGTACGTCAACTGGCCATTCAGCGTCAACTGTGATTATTTGAAATCTATTTGGGTAACGAAAACACATAATATTGATGATGATAATATTCAAGTGAGTATAAAATAAAACTTAATACCACACGGAGCAAGTATAGGCGTAGCCAGGGGGTGACCCCCTCACCCCAACAAATAATTTTTTCGACGTACATATTTTGAAAAGTAATTTTGTGGCAATTGAAGTGAGGCACAAATTTGTATGGCTCTTCCAATACTATTTTTGCTATATTCATGAGCGATTCACTGATAGTGATAACCCGACCTTTTTTGCTTTAAATACTGTCAATCCTTCCTGAAGCAAACCTACCGTGGTAGATTGAACTGCGCGCATGTATACCTTAGATAACTTACAGCGAAGTAAGTCTGTGTGAATCGTTTTGAAGATATCCGTGGCTGCCTATACCTAAACTTGTACGGAACGAAAAGCACAAATATTCGTCTTAAAAAAATTTTCATGAAAAGATTTTTATTTTGGAAATATTATAAATTTTTCGAATTTACTCTGATTTTTTAATCATAACTCAATCTTTTTTTGAACACGGCTTCCCTCGTCCAGTAAAATTGTGTGCTATCGTTTTATTTTTTTGGCTGAAAAAATAAACTCGACTATGATTATGAATGTGTCTCGCAATATAATATTATATCAATATGTAATATTAGTAATGACATGATATAGAAAAAAAATGTGATAACACTCTCTGCGGAGTGAACAAAACCCACTTGTATGAGTAAATTAGAGATCGACTACGAAAAAGAAATTTGCAGTGATACAAAATTTAGAAATTATTATTTTAAAGAAACGCTGCATGAAGATCTTCGTTTATATTGAAATCTGAATAGTAATAGTATTGTCGTATCACAATTTAATATAGAATGTATATAATGATTCTCAGTGAATTATAAATTATAAACAAAGCTGATTTAATGCTTATTTCCATATGTTCATACTTTTTTGTTAAGTGCATCACAACTCAGGGAGACATTGAGATCAACGACACAATTCTAGAACTAGCATCACTTACTGATAACTCGAACTATACTGCTAAACTGGTAAGTTTAGGTTTTTTGATATATTTTTGGTTGCCCTTTTATACAGAGGTGTTCATGTTCGTAAGCTTTTTTGAAGATCAAATTTTATTTAGTTAAGTAGTTGTAAACTGCTTTTCTGGGGAGGTTAATTTTTAGTCCGACGAAGCGTTACAGAAATACATTGGTGTTAGTGTGCAGCAGGACTCTGAATTGCATCGCATATGCCAGGATATTTTTATTCCTGCTACAGCACATCCTTTCATTATACGCATACGTATCCTCCAACGCAAAGGCATTGAGGAATGATTAGGAATTGGTCTCGTGTAACCTCTAATGATAGTTTTATATATTTACCTAGTTTTTTTTTGTCTCATGATTATGATATTTTCTTTAAAAATTTCTAGATTATCAATAACACTATTTGCTTGACAAATAAAGTACAAGTTGTTCTTCGACCTTTCCCGGAAATATGCAAGGTAGGGGTAAATAACGCCATCTCCCGTGAATCTACAATTGGGGATAGCGTGAATTTGAATTGCAGACGTGAGTATAGTTTCTTGAAAAATCGCTTGTATTAAAAATCCCTTATATGTTATTATACTTGTAACACTGTAACGCTGAAGCATTTTCAACTAAATTTGCAATTGTACTTAAACTATACCTTAATATTTATGTTCTGTTACACGATTTATAAGCGTTAAAAATATGCTTGTTATAGTATCTCTGACTACCTTGCGCGGATTATCAGATTGCGTCTGAAGACAAATAACCGGCCAACTAATACCAAACCCGTCCTATACTGGTATATAAGGGATAAAAAGTGCTATCGTATCCTTATCCTTATTTTGTTCGTATTTATCTGTTATCAGCTTATAGCTTGCAAAACCTCTTTTAAAATATCGTATCACAGAATCGAGGTGCATGCCAGCAAGCAATTTAGTCTAATTTCGTTTGTTCTGCATACGATAAAGGCTATCAAAGATAATTATTTACTCGTACAAAATTATTTTAATATAAAGCAAATAAACAGGTTACCTGCGACCTGCGACAGTTTACTCAGATAAAACATCATATTTTGCATCAATAGAGCCAGCTAAGAAGCCGGCTCCAAAATATATCGAGTGGCGGAATTATGGGGATTCGCACGCGTTTCTCGAATATCGTGATGATCTTTATATTTGGCGATTCATAAGTTATGTATTGTAAAGCACGTCATGTTAATGCAGCTGACGTAATGCGATACAAACATTTTTGGAATTAAGGGAACCTGTTGTAATAAGTTCAATAGGAAGAGAACCCGTTCCCAAATTTTGAATCCCTCCAATGACTGTCGTTAATGAGTTAGATACAAAAGAGAACTTGTTTTTAAACATTTTGATCTCACCACTGATTATATCTGTTATTTGTCTTCTAATAAACAGCTCCAGAAGGCGATCCAGATATAATTCCAGCAGGAGCAGATCAATCTAAGTTTAAAACTAAATGGTACGTTAATTGTAAAGATGAAGATTATAGAACTAATGATCCATGGACTGAATTTTCGGACCCTGGATACCCGAATGGATTGAATGTGAGTAGAGTATTATTTTATATTTCTTCAGATTATATTACTGAGAAGCTATTGTCATATTATATAAAGCATTTGTTCCCAAACTGGTATAATTACCCCCAAAAGGGCAATTTGACATTTTAGGAGTTATTCATACGTACACTATATTAGCAATTTCTTATGTAATTCACGTTCTTTTTGCTGACCTGCAGAAAATTTGGTTGTGAAGTTTTGAGATCTAGTATATGACTATTGTTACGTCTTAATGTAGTCGGTCGCACGGTTAGCAAAAAAATGATACCAAAGCTTTATTTTTGATTAAAAACATTACCATCCTTCTCACTGAGATTAAATCAGGACATTGTTGTTGTTATTAAATTTGCAAAATTGCACACGTTGAAAACTCTATTTTTATGAAAGGGATAATTGAGCTTAGGGTCTTTCGATTTATGGGTAAGTTTTATTCGCTCAGTTTGGTGCTTTTCAAACATTGTTTACTGGTTAACGTTTCGTCCTGACATTCGTCAATTATTATTTATATCTCAGATGGAATTCAAGAGTAGTATTTATTTTGCTTTGCTACATATATTATGGCACCGTACCAAGAAAAACACTGGACACTGAAATATAAATTCGTTATTTTTTTAGTTTCTCAATTCCAATTCTTTTTAAATGTTTATGTATCTTTGTGACAAAATCAAGATGTTTTTATTTTTCCATATATTTTATAACGTCCAACGATTTTTTGTAATGTTCTATTTAAAATGGGTAAATATCTAAAAGAATGCAGAATAGATTTCAATTCAATATACGTCTTCAAAAGGCAGGACGTACAAACAAGAAAATAGTCGTTTTGTGTTCAATAGAACTTCGTTGACAACATTTTGTATTTTTAGATGCCACGAGTTGATTTCTACGATGCCGCAGACTTTACATGTACAGTAACATACGAAGGAAAAATATTGTATGCTGTTACATACGAACAATGTATAAAACGTAAGTTAATTATTACAAAATTACATTTTTTTTTACCTATTTTGTGCTTTTTGCAAGTGTACTTCCCTTCCCTCTTTTTTAGACTTCTTTCCGACCCAGCATTTTTCTGCACATCCCGAACAAACGTTTCAGAGCCTAAATTCTTTGAAGTAAAAGATTAAATTTATGCACGATTTCAAATTCATTAATATATTTATATCATACTAATTTAAATTTATCTTTTTGAACATTTCTGCGAAACGTTATATTTGATTACATAATTTGGAAAAACACTGCATAAGAATGCATTACTATCTGCTTCTGTAGGATAATGAGTATTTGGAACAATATTACACAACATTGTTATGTAGTCCCGAATAGTATGAAGCAAAATTTCAAAATTTTTGAACGATTTCAAATTCATTAATATATTTATATAATACTAATGTAAAATTGTCTAATTTAAACATTTTTACGAAATATTCCTTCGTTCTAAATTTCGATTTTGAAACACCTAATTTTTCACCTAATTATACGAGGGTATGTGTTTCATATTTCAAAAAATGTCATATATGCTCAATTGAAACTTTTATTAAAACTCTTGTTGAACCTTGAACTTTAGTATGATAATGTGCATGTTTAAGTTGGTTGCAACCAGAGATACATTGAACCTTCTTCTCATAAAGAACAAAGTTATTCACCTTGCTATATGTGATTCTAATATTCTAATTTTTACAGAGCGCACTGAGTCCATCAATCCTACAATCACCTGTGTCAATTATGAAACTAAAGCACTCGGTGATACTGCTGTACTTGATTGCGAAGGACAGATAGTATTGGGAAACACTCCGTCAAAACATTTTGCAGTCCTATGGCAAAGGGTATGTTGTTGTTTTTTCTCCTCTTTTAAATAAGTGGTTTCCAACCTTTTCGCTAAATTTCTTCTTTTGTCAATTACGGAACTTCCTTCAGTATATACCAAAACTCTATTTTCGTTTGTTTCTCGATATTTAATTTAATATTGTGATGGGTGCATTTCGGCTTTTCTACAGTTTAGTTAAAAATTGTTAATATAACAAATAATTATTACAATAATATTAATCGGTAAAGAATATCATAAATACTACATTTAAATAAACAGTGTAAAACCACTTCCCCTAAAAAATATACTCCTTCATGGGAAGGCATTCTTCCGCAGGTGGAAACTCTTAAATATAGCTACTTTTTCGCAGAAGATTAACAAATTGCGAGTTTGGTCTTTTTTTTTTTTTTCACAAATTAGCATCGGAAGTACTATCATATAAGTTAGGTAATAGTGATGAGATATAAATTTTGAGAACAATCTCTCCATTCTATCGTGAAAATATTTCTGTGAATTCAAACGAATTGAATACGAATTGCACTCGCTAATTCAGAAGATGTCACTACTTAAGCTAAATTAATATGGTACGTTTAACATAAATATAATACATATCTTCCGAAAGGCCAAATATAAGGTAGTAACGTTCAACTCAAAAAACAAAAACAGGTTCCCGCCAATTTCATCAATGATACTGTAACTTTTATGTGTGTATCAATACTCCCATTATAATAATCTATACTTCAACTAATCTTCTTTTTAATTTTTAGAACAGCGATACAATTTGCGAAAATAATTTTTTCAACCAGACAAATCTTGGAGTTTTTGACAACAGACAATCATGCATCGTGTACGTGAACTTTTAATCCATATTTGTGAAACTTCCTTTTGGACCTATGGATCGTTTTGTTTAATTGATGTTGTTAGTATTCTTCTTCGTCTTGGTATTTTTGTTGTTGTGGAAAAATCGCTTTTCTACTTGACTACTGGACCAATTGAATTTTTCAGTAGTTAAAGCTCGTTGTTGTCTCTAGTCGGCTATCACTTTTATATTTCAAATATTTCTGTGGGCTCTATGACATTCGTTTTTCACTTTATGATTTTGTGTGATGACGTCATCAAAATTAAAATTGCGCACCGTATAATCCGCTTTCAGTATTGATCTATCTAAAACAGACTTTTCAAATAAAGCGATACTTCGTGTATTAAATGATTCAATTGAATGAAAATTTGATTTAGTAAAAGTATAATAACGAGTAATATTCAATGACGACAATCTAATTTTTATTTTTTTAAATTTACATCGTCGAAAAACGGAAAGAAATAGGACGTTGGGTTATATATTCGAAAGAATTGAAAAACTGACAAAATGGTGTATTTTTCAATTTGAAGGTGCGAGGTTAGTCTAAGTGATCCAAGGATCCTGCTGCGCACTGACACAAATGTATTTCTATAACGTTTCATTTGACCAAGGTCAGAATTCCTCCAGACATACATAATTCAACTATACTACATACAATTCAAATTCCGTATTGGTGTGGCCTCTTTTGATACGTGGCGTTTGCAGACCCTTTGAATGAAATAACATTGTGATTCACAATTGGTATCTACCAGTCACTAGCTCATCACTAGCCATGCGTTTGGTGGATAATATAAGATGTGCTCTGCCTAATACAATTCCCATAGATGGGATACTCGAAAACAGTCAGATGCCCCATTTGACTTGAACAAATTACAACTTGCACAATTTTTTGTTGAGTATAAAACCATAGTTTATGTGGTTCACGGAGGTGCCATTAATTTGTAGTCAAATAATTTTATTTTGCCACTGCAAAATATTTCTGCGAGTTCCCGGTTGTGAACCAGTTCTCTGAGAATTTTCTCAATCCTGTTTTTATTAGGACTGCTAAACAAATTTACTATTAAAAAACAGGCAGGCTTTAATACATGTAACTTTGTGTAAATTACCATTGACTGATTATATTTTCCAGGAAAGGCAACAATGACTCCGTTGTTTGTGTCGTTGACGGCGAAAAAATACAAAATCGAAAAAAGATTATCGATATAAACTTGTATATTCGGTAAATACCATTCATTCATAACTATATCATTTCTCTTACTTTATTTGAAAATCAACAACAACAACATTAGCAACAGACTAATTTTAAATTACTATTAACACGTTTTTTTGTGCTCTATAATGGGGGTTTGTAACTTGCGGCCCGCGCGCAAAATGTGGCCCACAAGCAAAAACTGTGCGGCCCGTGAAGAAGTACCAATATGAATAGTGTGCGGCCTACGAGACTTTTTTTAAAATTTAGTTTGGTTTATTACGTTACGAGCAATTCTATACATTTTGCGCTGCAAAGCCTATACCCGAGCTTGTGCAAAGCGAGCAACGCATGTCATGAGATCAATGCTAAAAACATATGTTAAAAAAAATGTCTCGCTGTTTCACCCAGTTATTTGTATCTGAATCATCTTTGCTCTTTCTTAAATGTGTTCACATTTTAACTCCATACTTTGGTTCCTACAAGAAGTTTTTGCGAGATACACGACAATTTGTTTATATCATCAATATGTTATATCTTAAATAGCGCATTGCTATACATGCATTACATTTTGAATGCGGTTCTCAAATTTCATTTGAATTTAAAAGTCTTGCTGCACCCTAACGCAAATGTATTTTTGTAACGTTTCATCTGACCGAGTTCAGACTTCTTTCTCAAGACGATTAAACTTCTACTGTTGTGTTTTTTTCGGAAATAATTTCAAACGTTTCATCTATATATTTTGACAACAGAGACTTGAAAAGCAACGATATTGGACAATATACTGTCAACTTGGGTTTTTTCGATATATCATCTGGCTCGTGGAAGAACGATACTTGGGTTGTGAAACTAAATGAAGACAATACGCCACGACTACTTCGACTCATCATGATTCTTAGTATATGCCTGGGTGTGCTGATATTAATCATCATTCTGGTCTTGCTTTATAAAAGATTTGAGATCTACATTCTTGTTGCGTACAAGAGATCATGGCTATGGAAATATGATCGAGGTAAATTCAATCGTTTTGTTTTCATTTTCTGTACTTTATCGAAAAATGTTTTATAGAATATATTATTTTCCATGTCGTCTTCGAGTTTCTATGAATAACTCAGCATCATTTTGATAGGGTTGGATATTTATACAGTAATTTACATAATATTTGAATACTGAGACCGAGTCTAGCTAGCTCATTGATTTCCAACCCCTATATTGATTAGCCACGAAGTTGTAGAATACTTCAAATAAAACTAACTGGACAATAAACTGGTGATAAACAGGACTGGTGATAAACAGGAGTTTCGAACGTGAATAAACATTGTACTTTTTATGAGCAATATTTTCATATCTTATGCGTATGAATCTCATAGACGCTCAAACTTCTCTCATGAACCACGGGGGCTTCTGGACACCACTGATCTAGCGTCCATTGTACGTAAAGTGCTTCTAATTTAATTCTCAAATGATTAAATCATACCATCGGAGTCAATGTAACTATCTTCATAAATGTTTTAAAGAAAGTGATTTCCATTGCTATCTAAATTGACAACTTGAAATCACAAAAATCATGATTTTTTTGGCGTGTTTTGCCCCATATTCCCAAAACAAAATTGCAGTAGAAACTGCTAAATGAGAGGCCACTCTCAGATCTAGTACGGCTGTAGAATATTTTAGTTACGTCTTGTCTTTTCAAGTCATGTTGTTTATTCGTTTTGACGTGTGAGATTGCACGATTTGCATAACATTCTTGTTGTCGTTAAATCCCTATAAGTTTGGTTCAGGAATATTCAAATTTAATCAAATAAACACCCAGTGACACCCAGGGACGTAATGTAATTGTTTATCGTCGCACTGTATCGATTGGGTGGGCGGTATATGTATATTTCGGCTGTATATGTATATCGCGTAACCAACCTCACTCAATTGTAATGGCAATTTATTAAATGTCTAGTTTTGTATTTCCACAGACGACAAGCAATATGTCTGCTATCTTTCATATCTATATGATTCTGACACTCTTTCTGATGAAAGTCTCAGGGCTACATCGACCATCGTATACGCGATTCACAACCTGTTGGAAGATTCGAATTATACATACTATGATGAACAAAGGCAGGTTGATTTTACAGGTGAAATAGAAATATTTCTTTTTCTTGTATTAGTAATTTCATTTTGGTTTTACATTTCCATTACAAAATATACTTAATTAGCGAACTATTTCATTTGGAATTGTCTGATAGGTGCAGTGATAAGGTGTATGACTAGTATGTTATCTGTAATGGTATGGAGCTTATTGTGGATACAATACAAATTTGAGTTGTCAGTATTTTCAATTCAGAATGGGAAGTTGTGTTCATGTTTGAAACGGCGCTCACATGGATAAAAATACATATTGTTTTTTTTATTCATGTCGCTGTGTCAAATCTTCTGTCCTTTTGTCTCGTGGTAATTTTTCTGTAAGGATATGCGATAAACTGCATTCTCTTTTCTTACCTTTACCGCCAAATCTTTCATGTGGCCCAGCTAGTTGTTCGAAGTTGGTTATATGGCTCAACAACAAAAATGTTGCTCACCCCTGCCTTATATATACAATAGTTTGTGCATCGTTTTATGTCTGTAATCTTTGCTAAAATCATCGAAGAAATCTACGTTGGTGCAACTCATATAAACCAATTTTGTTTTTTCAGTTCAAGTTGAAAGTATCACAAACCTTATAGAAAGATGTCACCGGATGGTTTTTGTCTTAACTCCTGAATATCTAAATGATCGCTGGATGAGATTTCACGCGGAATTGGTAAGTTTGGGATTCGCTACAAGCTTTTTTGTTATTTATTGTGAGTAATTACAAGTCGAGACTGTCTGAATTAATGTTCGATTAACCAGTTAGATGTGGCATAAAAATAGTTAACCCGATATTTCTCAAATGAACTTGAGCCGGCGCTGGCTTGTCAACGGCCACCGCGGCACACTTTGAACGTGTGTAACGGGGATAGCAAAGGTGCTACTTTTGCCAAGTACGGTGCGCCAACTGTAGATCATGTTATAATTACGGATCACCTTACAGTCGGATATAGTGTGTTTTCCAAGCAATTACCATGTCTGATAGATCAGAGGTGGGCAATACTTCACTGAGTGGGCCAGTTACAGATAATGGCTTAGATATATTTCATTGGTGTTCCTCTTAAAGACTACTTTACGAGTGAAACCACTAAAACCTTTTTTAGCTATAGATATAAGAATGATGCTCTAATGTTAAAAACACGTTTAAAAGCAATTTTTTTCATCAAAACTATTGAAATGTATGTATTGTATTCATTATATCTTTGTTTCACAGGGTTTTCATGGGCTTCTCGAGTCTAAAATGGGCCTAATATTCATTCTCACTCCGGGAACGAAAAGGGTGCTGAAGAAACTAGCAAGGACAGACAAAGTTTGGGAAAGGCTTCTGATTGCTATCAAGGTAACTTATTTCTTGTAGTAGATTTTATGATTTAATAATTATTTTATGTGCTTATTCAGGAAAATTAAAGTCAAGGTTATTTAAAAAAAATTTTGTACTAATTTGGTTATTTTAAATCACGTTGAATTTAATAAAATTTTAATCAAACAATATTATAAAAATGCCCATAGTAAAAACATTTTGACGAATTTGAAGTGACATAATTGTATGCGATGCGTATCTCTACTGCGAACGAAGTTTTAAGCTCCATTCAACTCATTCCACTCTAGACCTGACATGGGCAAACTAACGGCCGCGCCATTGGGTAATTCAATCTGGCCCGCCTGATTCTGCCACAACCGAACTAAAACCAAATTCTTACGTTTCAATCAAAAAAGACCCCAAGGAATTCGTTGAGATTGCGATTGAGTTTAGTTTGTTTGATTTAGTTCATTGTTTTCGACTTGCTTGCTTTTATAACACTGTGAATATGTTCATAAAATTTAATTTTTTACGCCACACACACACATGGCCCAACTATCCAGGTGGACAACATTTTTGACTCCAGGTCCAAAAACCTTGCCAACCACGGTCTATATAAAATTATTGATTCTAAACGTAGATATTTATGATTCTTGAAGTTTGGCAATACCAATCAGTTGGCAGTATCAGTACCCTCAATATACTGCTTTCTAACAATAAATAATTTTTAACAGACAAACCATGTTATAAAATGGAGAGAAGCAATGAACGAAGATAAGTTGAAGAGAAACATCGAATACAGACTTCCAAAACTTGCTCGGAGATTTTGAGATTTACATGGTTCGAATTCGAGCTGTATGGTTGTAATCCTGATTATACTAGATCTGTGAGCCAAACCACAAATCATATATGATGTCGGATGATGGGGCTGCACAGGGTGACTTTAGAATGTGATGTGATTCTAAGCATTCCATGTGAATTGCAAACGTGTATTTTATTTACAATCATTCAACTCGTATAAGATGTAGGGCTGGGCATTTTCGAATAGTAGATGATTTCAGAATCGAATTGAATCTTGGATAATTCGAAGGTTTTTAAATTACTACAACAACGTTATTATATGTGACTGTTTGTTGTAATGGGCTCTCCTGAAACACAAATCACTGAAAACACAGTATTTATCATTTTTTACTATTTGTTTAGAGTTGGGCACTCTAAATAAAATATAGTATTTCAAGATTAGGTTTTGAAATTATTTTTATCCGGGTCTTGCCCATTCTCGTCATTTGTTATATTTTATGCATTAGGTGAAATGAGAATGTTCAGATGTTAATCCTAGATTTGACAATTTTTTTTATTGTGTTGTTAATATATACATATTGCAGCCGCAGCACTGTTAGCTTTAATTGTTCAGCGTCCTTCGATTCTAGAAGTCATTGTCATAGTTTTAACTATTTTTTATTAGATGTTCTCTGATGAACTATAGTCGATAAATGAATTATATTCCTTCCTAAAGTTTTTTTATGTACCATTTTCTTTCGTGTCGAATAGATAAATGATATTTTTTCTCATTAATATGAAAAGTGTTAATTTAATTTGAACAATTTATAAGTTTGTTTAGTTTGGAGAATTCAAAACTGATTCATAAAATATATTAAAAGTTCGTTTTGAACACTATTTCTTTCGTGTCGAATGAATAAATGGTGATATATTTTATATCGCCAATTTGAAAGGTGTTGAATTAGTTTGAATGATTGAAAATCAATTTATGCAAGTTTTTGAAGCCGCAATTTGCATCTGCAAATTTTGTGTTTTTTTATGATTTTTGTATTGTTTTGTCATAGATTTGATCTCAACTGTTTAAGCACTGCATTTTAGCTTAGCAGCGTGTGTTCTATTTTAAGTTTTGCTTATAAAATTGTAACCTGTGAAATATTCTTCAGTCCAACAATAAATTGTATAAATACCGATATATTTTGATTTCCATATTGCACCAAATGTGAGATTGGTTGAAATACAGAAATGTTTTTCAAACGTTGTATATCGATTTGATGCACCTACTCATCCTTGTAAATAAGTCTTGTTTTTTTCTCACTCTGTTTGAAATATATTTTAATTTTTTTTAAGGTATATTAAATTTTAAAATGGGTGTTGTCTCTTTTTGCTGCAAAATATTTAACATTCGTTTTCAAACAATATCTTGGGAAATCGAATAATTCAGGATAATATGACTATAGTCTCACGCTTTACGGCACGTCATTCTTTGCATTTTATTTGATATAAGTGGATTAGCATGCTTTCATTTCAATTTCTAAAAAGAATTCATAAATAATCTGACCGACCTCGATAAATTCACTTAGTGTTATCGTGGTTTAAATCGATCGCGTATTAGTTTCTATTATGTTGTTCCAAATTCAGTATACATAATCAAACTTCAAATGCCTACATGCTTGCAGCCGATAAATTCCACAAAATTAGCAGGCTTGCGTTGGTGTGTTGGGTACGTTACCTTTGTGTTAATAGCTATTATTTAACGCAGTGATTCTCAAACTATGGTTTGAGAGCCGCATGCGGCACTTAACAACCTTTCCTGCGGCTCCCGTTAATGTTTAAAAAATTAATTATTTTCAAAGAAATTTTTTCATTGAAAACTAATCATTGACTCGAAATTAAAATGCTGAAGTCTATTAGTTAGTCGAATGGATTCCCCCGTGTTCATTTGCGTAGCGTTGACTAACCTATAAGATGCAATAGTGACGCGACAGTGAGCGTTTTCGCGGCCAATCGGACACTTTTCACTTGGAAAGATTTTAGACATGGCTGTAATCATTGGCTTGCTTTCGTGGATTTTCAGTTTTTGTCGCATTTCCAGATCTTATGTATAAATCAAATAACTCGATTATTATTTTAATTTCTATAGCATTTTAATTTTGTTCCAGTAATCGAAAATAGTCTCGAAAAATCTGTCGATCATCTCAAGCAGCTACTGCAGCTTGCATCCTCAACGATTACGACCCGCTTTGACAAACTTACTAGAAATCAAAGCCTAATTGAAAAGCTGTTAGGGTAGGGTGGGCAAAATTGAATCTTTTTTCGAATCGGATAATTCGAATGTTTTTTTTATACATAACAGGGATCCAGAACGTCGGAGGTCGATACTCCATCTGGAAATTAATAGAAACATTAAAAAGTCGGCAATAAAGCGCTTTTTAATGGTTAATTTTATCATAATTTCTGATTGTCTTTGTCACCGCGATCGTTTTGGCTGCGATATCCTAAAGTTGGTATTCTATATTTCCGCCCTTTCTCGTTTTTGCAAGAATAAGCGGTCGCCGAATATCGAAATGTCATATTTCTAGTATACCCTTGCGTTCACATCAGCGACAGCTGTTGAATATATTTAAGGACTGATTTCAAAACCAAATTAATTCTATTCTAAGGTTATCCTCTGCCTTGGATTCGATCTTCCGTATCACCGCATGTAAATTAACCGTACATGTTTAAAGTGAACGGTAACCGAGATGCAGATATTTATTATAATGATACTTTTTTTTTCCAACAAAACAACACCCCGATGGTTATTATAGCTAAAATACGTACTGAGTAATGCTCAATTTTCTTTACGGAATTGGCAAATTCAGCACTTCACTTAATGAATTTGATTAAGTCATGCCTTGAGGCTTACTTAACTGCCCAAATGCTTCAAAATTTACCAATTGTTATCATTTTCGATGATAATAGACGCAACAATTCGTGAACGAGTCAGTGTGCATTGTTTCAACGAAATTCACGATTGATTTTACGTTCTACTCTTGGCTCAACGGCCATGCAGGGTCGAGTAAAATGTTTACATATTCGAAACATTACTTGGCAAAGGATGGAAGGGATCACTAAAGAGCTAATACAAAGTGCTTTAAAGGGAGTAGGACATGAAATTTCTTATCTGTTTACAACTTAATGAGTGTTTTCCATACAAGTAACTCATACCAGCTTTTGGAAAAACTTTTGGTCTTTTTTAAATCCATGCTATTTACATAACTAGAGTGCTTTAACGACCTAAAATCGCCTTTTTCACAATGAAACGACGAAAAGTCATTTTAACATTTAATTTTAAGCAACTTTATGTTCGGTAATGCAAGAAATGGCTGATGACATGTCACCAAGCATGCCGAGTTTAAATCTGGGAAATTTATTTTAAATACCTAATCTGGTTTGACGTTTCTAAATTTACGGAACGGTCGGTACGTTTTTTTTTTGCAAAATGATGAATTGAAAGGATACGTTAAGTGCAAAAATGAGCATATAACACCATAACGCAAAGACGACTTTTCAAATTTTTCTTTTTTTTCTGATAGCGTGCGCCGTTGGGAAATCTCGCACAATTCACGATTGAGTTGGAGACGCTCGAGTTCGGTGTCCAAGCAGAGCGGCGCAGGTCACGTGGTACCGGATATTCGAATCGTAAAATGCCATTCAAATATATTATTATTAAATTATTTTGCCCAGCCCCAGTTGTTACGTGTGTTGTTGTTACGATGACTTAGTATTTTAATTACGCGATTAAGGTTTGTTGCCATTTTACCTTGCGTTGTTTGTGTGCGGCTCTTCATATCTTTGAGGATTGAAATGCGGCTCTGGGACTAAAAAAGTTTGAGAAGCACTGATTTAACGTATTAAACATCGAGCATCGACTTCCTTGATTACTTCCTAACATTGACTAATCAGCAAAATACCAACGGTACGTAACAGCAGATGTCTAGATACCATTCAATGCTTCATTCGAATAATTTCACTAAAGAAATAGCTTTCTTAAGCACTTCCTACATTCAATAGAGTTGGTAACGTGTCATACATAAACTGCCAAGAATATGCATGTACCGCCAACTCATGTACATATACAGCCAACCAAATATACCTATACCCGTATGCATATATAGCCAACTCAATATACAAATACAGCCATTAAGGTGATGTACAAATACTGCTAGATCATTTCATAAGAATCTCCTTTAACATGGAACGCTTTACAATACATAACTTAATAAACGCCAAATATAATGATCATCACGATATTAGAGGAACAGTTTGGTAATTGGTAGTCGGTTTCGTAGTTGGCTGTATTGATAGATGTGTTGGTGTTTTATCATAAGTAAACTGTCACAGGAAATGGCAATAAATTTTGTTTGCTCTATATTACCAAGTTATCAAAATAAATTTGATCGCGTGACTAATTATCTGTGATAGCCGTTAATGGATGCAAAACAAACAAAATTTGAATAAATTGCTTGCTGGCATGCACCTTGGTACTGTGATATGATATCCTTGAAGGGGTTATGCAAGTCATAAGCCGACAACAGATATATAGGGATAACGATAAAATAGCATTTTTATCCCGGGAGAAGGAAAGTCGATAAGGCGGCTCAATCATATGGCGTACCATGTCCTCACGTCTGGTTGTCAGGTCATGTCAAGTATGGGATTAGTTGGCCAGTTTTTAGGTCTTTTTTTGATGTATAGACGTGATGGTGGAGGAAGCCGTAATCAATCAGCGATTACGTGAACCACCCTGAGGTGGTTTCCAGCAATCCCCTCGCACATAATTAACCCCTACGAGATACGAACCTGAAAACCTGCGCAGAGTAATCGGAGAAATGCGATGACCAATCTTAATAATGTATTCCTAACGCTTATATATTGTCATACTCTAACAGAAAATGAATGCGGTATAGTTCATGTGGAAATGCAAACTCAGTTAAAAATAATATGCTGCAGTGTCACATTCATGCACAATTACATATAAGGGTTTCTAATAGATAGGATTGTTTAAAGAAAAGGTTTGGAAATTACGAGCTCTTTTTATAATCTATAACTACGTCTGCAATTAAATTCCACACTATCACTAATTGTTGATTCAAGAAAGATGGCGTCATTTACCACTTCCTTACATACTTCCGGGAAAGGTCGAAGAACAACTTGTAATTTATTTGTCAAGCAAATAGTGTTATTGAGAATCTAGAAATTGTAAATAAAAATATTATAATCATGAGACAAGAAAAAACTAGGTAAATATATAAAACTATCAGCAGAGGTTACACGAGACTAATTCCCAATAAATCCTCAATGCCTTCACGCTGGAGGATACGTACGCGTATGATGAAAAGATGCTGTAGCAGGAATAAACATACCATGGCATATGCGAAGCAATTAAAGAGTCCTGCTGCACACTAACACAAGTGTATTTCTGTAACGTTTCGTCTGACCAAAAATTGACTTCCCCAAAAAAGCAGTTTACAACCACTTAACTAAATAAAAGTTTGTATTCACAAAATTTACAAACTTAGACATTTATGGATAAAAAGACAATGGAAAATATATGAAAAAACCTAAACTTACCAGTTTAGCAGTATAGTTCGAGTTATCAGTGAGTGATGCTAGTTCTAGAATTGTGTCTTTGATCAAGATGTCTCCCTGGGTTATGATGCACTGTAACAAAAACGCATGAACTTATTAAAATTGGCATCCAATAGTCTTTGTTTATCCATTACTGTTCACTGAAAATCATTTTGAACATTCTATATTAGTTTGTAATAAGACAATCCTATTACTACATAGATTTGAACATAGACAAAGATCTTCATGCAGAGTTTCTTGGAAATAATAACTTCTAAGTTTTGTATCACTGCAAATTTCTCTTCTGTAGTCGATGTCTAATTCACTCATGAATTCGTTTTGTTCACTACGTGGTGAGACTTGTCTTGTAGCCGTGCTTTGAGTGGTAGTTCACAAAATGTTTTGACATCCCATCGCAATACTGAATCTGACCAAATTAGTCATGCTATGACTTGAGAAGTCAATTGTAGAATGGACTAGAAACCGGAAACTATAATACGCGTTATCATGTTTTTATACTATATCCTGACATTACTTATATTACATATTGTTGCGAGACATAGTCAGAATCAAGTTTATTTTTCTAGTCAGAAAAATAAAACGATAGCAAACACGGGTAAAGCTGTATTCGAAAAAAACATCGAGGTATTATTATAAATAAAAGTAAATTCAAATAGTTCATACCATTCACAAAATACAAAGCCTTTCAAGCCATTTCCCGTTCAAATTTTGAATAACATTGATAATTGGAAAGATATATGTTGATAAAAATGTTCTTCTGTTCGTAAACAAATTATCGCTGTTCCAAGTTTTGATGACATGTTAATAACACGCTACGTATGGTTTGTGTGGTTATCCAGATATCAATTTCGGTTTTACGCATGAAATAAATGAAGTAGCATATACATAAGTAGATAGTTATAATCAGAGGTTTTCCTACATGCAAATTTATGAAGTGCAATTGAAGTAATTGAAAATATGTCTTTCTAGCGGCGTAACAAGGCCGAAATTGTCGATGGGGGGTCAAATTATTTTTTTTGAATAACGCTTATTCGTGCTTTTCGTTTCCAACAAGGTCAGGTAATACTAGTCACTGATATCTGATGATATATTTGAAAAAATACGCACACAGACTTACTTTGCTGTCAAAGTTATCCAAACTGTACATGCGCGCAATTCAATCTACCTCGGTACTCGGTAGGTTTGCTCTAATTAGGACTGATAGTAAGCGAAAAACGCGAGTTATCAGTGAATCGCTCACGGATATAGCAAAATAGTACTGAAAGAAATATACGAATTTGTGTCTCACTGCAAATGCTACAAAATCGTTTTTCAAAAATCACACGTTGACAAAATATCTGTTGGAGTGAGGGGAAGCCCCCTAGATACGTCTTATCTTCCTCCATATGAAATTAAGTCTTGTTTAATACTTACTTGAATATTATCATCATCAATATTCTGTGTTGTCGTTTTCCAAAAAGATTTCAACTCATCACAGTTGACGCTAAATGACCAGTTGACGTTCGCTTGCTTTTTTGATGAATGTTCGGTCTGACATGTTCCGTTGAAAACTGCATTGGAATATTAAATCTTGTTTATGCAAATTTTTATTTTATTTCTAAAGTGACCAATTATTCGATTCTTCCATAATTACGTAATTTTAGCGGGCAACAAAGCTTGATGTTTGTCCAATAGCATATCAGATGTGCAGAAATTTGATATCATAAAGAAACTCGTAACTAAGAATGCAGTATCTCCATCTCCAATAAAAACAACGCGCGTAATCAATATCAATGTAATATCACACACGTAGACGTTCTTTATTACTTATCGATTTTAATCGGTAAGTATGTTGATAGATATTCGTCTGTTTGTCTGTTAGATGCACGCGATATCTCACGAAAGCGACATTGAATCTGCTCCAGATTTTGCATGTGCATTCATCTCGGACCAGAAGCCTATTGATTTTGGGCAAATTATGTCGTATTAGCAAGTTATCAATTAATTAGTGATGGGACAGAAGGTGTTACTATGGAGTAAGAGCGCCGTTTTTGGGGGATCCCCTAACTTTCGATCAATAAGTCTTCGGTCCCTGACCGATATTCTCGTTTATTATTTTATTAATTCGGTTATTCAGTTAGTGTAAAAAACTTTAAAATTCCAATAGCTGATTTTAACTTTAACCACCACGAAAACTTATTACTAAACTCTTCCGTCTACTGGACTCCAGTAATGTATAAACAATGAAAGTAGATTGTAAGAAAAATAGGAATTATGCTTCAGTATAACGTTAGTTCTGTAAAATAAATTTAAACATATTCTGAAGAAAATAGAGATGAAAAGTCTGAATTCAGAATGCGGCGTTATTTTACTTTCAATGTGACAAAACTCATATATATACTACTCCACTTCCATGTATTTTCTATAATGCTTCCTTGATGAAAGTTTGCAACTGAATACATAATGATGTGCAGGTATTTGAAACATTACATATATCATATAAAACAAACCAATTTAAAGCATCTCTCTCTATCAAACTCAAAATATTTTTGCAATCTAAACCCTTTCGTATTTCTTTTCAAATTCCACCAAAAAAGATAAACATGGTTGTTTTTCAATTTGTTATTGAAATATTATATTGAAGAGTAGGAAAAATAAGTATATATATGAAATAAAACAGTTTGTTATTGTTTAATTGCTCTATTCAAATATCAGTTCTTTCGTTGGTTACACGAGAAACAATTTTCAAGAGCATACTTCATGGCAATAATATTATAACAGAAAATAACTTCGTCATAAAAATCAAGAAAGTTGTGAAAAAGCAAATTGTTAAAGACATTATGCTGTCATAAAATACTGAACATTCATCTGCTGAAACTATCACTATATTTACAAATTTAAATGTAATATTGAAGTCAGACACATTGAAAAGTGAGATGAACAATGACATACAAGAGGTAGTTTACCTGAACCTCCGATTTTTTTTGTAGTGAAATATGTATTTTATCATTCACAAAAAATGATTTTTAGGGAAGAAGATCCCTATACGGGGACAAAACTAAAGCTATGGTGTAGGGGAATATTAACAATGGACTTTCGAATCCGAACGTCTGACTGTACAAAATTTTGTTCCAGCTGCGAACAAACCATCATAAACCGACCATCATAACCATCCAAACTCTTACTCTCGACTCTACATCCCTATTATTCCATGCCCAAACGTTTGATTATGCTTATTGAAACACTCTGTCCGCATGTTTCCGGTTTGTCAAAATTTACTGCAATTGGTGGATATACGGAGAGGTATTTATCGTGAAAAATGTACATAAACGGTTACTTCACATACGTTGAAAACATACTGAAAGCATATATTCGAACATTCGAAAGTAGAGAGTTTACAAATTCATACTATGGTTTATTTTGTACTGAAGCACTGAGAATAATGCTTATGAAAATCTGTTGTCATCTTTTTCTTGAAACAGCCATTATTTTAACGAGCTGAGAGTATTTACCAAATTACTATTTTCACATATATCTAAGACAGTCTCTTTTTAAAACAAAATATCGATGAAAATTTGAAATATTTAAAAAACATACTGAGACTCACAATCATCGAAATAGGCTCTAGATTCGATCTGTCGCGTGAAAATATCCACGCACATCGGTCTCATTATTAAATGTACTTTCAATTTCATTTTTTTGTAAATATTTTTTGTATTATTGAATTTTACTACATCTTTATGTTAGCCCCTCAAAATCGCGAAAAAATCGGCCGTGCCAAGTAGGTCATAATGAAAAAAATTTGAAAAACACTGATCTAAGGAATCGCGTCGTTGTTGTCTTCCTCATGTTTCAAATATTTTTTGATTGTGCTACTTTTCTCTGTATCATAATGCAGTTCCGTTCCCTAAAGACAAAAATATCGTTTGGTTTCTTTTTCTAACCAATTTTCAAGTTGTTTATATATATAAATTATATATCACGCATACCATTTTGATGGAAGACAACCGCATCATTCTCATATATTACAGCACCGTTTCTATTTTCAGCAGGCCTCCTCTTCGGCATGGCGAGTTCCAGTCGTCGCTTGAATCTTTGAGATAATTCTTCTCCAGACCATTCAATGACAAAATTTCTCTGAATATTTCATTAAGAGTTATTAAAATTACATTGTATGGGTGCTGATAATAAAATCCTACTAAAATGATTTAATTTAGTTTTGATACTTCACAATCAGTTATACAAAATGTTATCAAATGATTTAGTAAATTATCCCGATTTGCAACGCATTGTGAAAAGTTTTTATAACGCGCCTGCCAGCGTTGGATTAAAAATCTTAAGAACAACGTGTGATAGCTTTTGAATTTTAAACAATTTATGAGTGGAGACCATTTCCCCACCTCAAAAAAAAATAGAATAAAATGAAAAAAAAAAAGAATCCGTAAATTCTTTAGTACAGCTACGGAAGTTGAAAATTCAGTAAACACTCTACACTTGAACCCTTGTTGGTGCATGGTTATACCCATAGGTTTCAGTAATTTAGGATAATATGAACAAAAATCTTGTTCACACTAATATACGTTTCAAATGATGTTCTAAATTCTGTTCTTTTTGGGGGTCATCTAGTAATTCTAGTTTCTATTTTATCTAAAACAACATGGCCTACTTACTCTCAAGGCTGCTTTTATTCCATGTCTTCTCTCATCTTTCAAGTTTTGAATAACCTGGTCGATGCCAGGTGTTTTGATGAAAATGAAGGAACTTTGGAGAAAATTCTGTGTAAAAATATAAAAAATATAATGTCGAAACGACTAATATCTAGTAGAAATTGCCAAGCGAAGATAATAGCTGATAACATAACTTTCTACTAAAGCCAGTGGGTTTTAAGTATAGTCTGTTGGAGAATAGAAATTTTTACTCACGTTGTATATTTCAAATGTATTTTCAGGATCTTTAAGGTAATTTTCCGTTAAGATGATAATGATACGATCACACATTTGTTGAACACGATTGATATTTTCTATGTTCCCTAAACGTTGGAAGATATAAATTATTCTATCTTACAAAAAATGTTTCACATTTTCTCAAAAATATTTCACTTTATAATTCAAGAAGAATATTTTCAAGTACTGTTCCAAAAAAAGCGTTATATATTGCTTTTATCTTGCTGAGTCTGTGCAACAAAATTCCAAATCCCAATCAAGAACACTCACAAACATAAAATGGTAAAACGGATTCATAGGGTGATAGAATCACAATACCAAGTGCTTTTCTCAAAATGAACTCAATCTTCAAGGATATGAATTTCTCATTTGAGCGCATTAGAAGTAAAAAATAGTATTTCTGAGATGAAATTACATATATTATGTTTAAATGAAGACAAAAAAATTATTTTTCAATTCAGATTATTTTACATTGTAAAAATCATTGAAAAAAAGTCAGATCAAACATTTAAAAAAAGTCTATGCAACTGGAAATATTAAAAAATAAAATATTCATATTAAACCAGAACTGATTACCGGGCGAGATGCGATCGTGTTTTTTATATTATTGAGTCGTTATGCTTATTTGAGAATTTAAATTTAAATCTGAATACATTTTGTATAAAATTATATAAAAAGGTAAATTAATAATTTTTTTAGATGTCTGTGAAACTTGAATTAATAACCCGCAACATCATTCACACTGAGCCACGTGTTTGATAGACTGTGTTTCATTGTAGGATAAGCCGTCTGCATCCAATACATATTTCAATAGTCAAAATCCATCATATGATCATTCTTACATTCAAACTTGGCAGGATTATGGTGAGGATCGTATATCGGTGAATTCAGTTTTCCCAATTCGATTTTGATTTTTTCAATCAGTGCATCGTATGCCGGATTTGGTTGTGTATCGTTCGTCCAAAAATATGCAAAGTATGCTCCGAAATCTCGAACGTCTGCATATATACAGAATATATACGTTACTATGTATGACTGGTGTTTTACCTAAAACTCATTTTTTATGAACTTTGAACCCAATAAAACAATCTGTTGCATCCATGTTTGAGGATCTAATAAATGGAACAATGGAGGTAAATTATACATATATTTACAATAATGGGATTATTAAAATCACCATCCAGAACAGATTAAAAAAAGCAAATTTGTTATTCAGGATTAAGAACAGTTTCCTTTGTCTATAATTTTAAATCCGTTGCCAACGGAATGTGGTTCTGACTCCAGACTTATTGTTAACTAAAATGTTGACTACGGTTTCTAAAATTCGCGGCCTGAGCTATGAAATGACGAATTTTTGACAATAAAATTCAGTTAAAATAAATAATTGATTTTAGGTAATTTCAGCATACAAATTTGAGTTTTTATTTATATGCTTATATATCACAAATATACAGACAAGCTGCCACGAACTCTAATTTTATTGCTCAAACCAAAATATTAAAAACCTTCATCAAAACTGGCGAAGTAATGTTTCCACGTCCATTGGATCTCCAACCAAAATATGGCGCACAGTACAACAATAAATACAACACCCAATACAGATCCAATGACAATCCAGATAATCTGAATTGTTTTTTCTGGGTTGTTTACAATTTCTGTTACAATGGTAATGTCTGTGTCGTTAATTTGACTGATTTCATTTTTGACGAAGGCCTGAAATCTTCCGAAGTCTTGCTTTTGTATGTCTCTATGAATAGAAATAAAGGTATTCAATAATAAGAAACCAATGCTCATGTATATATGGTCAAATGACCACAATAGCGTCAAAGTTTTAGCTCAATGTAATTAAAAAATTGAGCCGAATGTATTTGAATGTGTTTCCGCTGATTAAAACAGTCACATTTGGTAAAAAATGACTCGAAAATTTGAAATACCAAAAATATATCAAAAATCCGAACACACGAACAAAATCAACAATTCTACAAAACTGACCATAGTTCGTGTCCATTAAAGTACAATGCACTGTACTTACTTCATTTCATATATCATATGTAGAGTTTTCAGCGTTTTATTTTTTTCTGCTTCCCATTCTTCCTGTGTAGGAATTTCAGCGAAACATTTGAAAGGATCTGCTGAAGCATTTCTTCCATACAAACTGCCAGAAAAAAATAAGTATAAATATTATAGTATGCAAATTTTGCTGAAAATATAAGATATGCTGAAGTATTAGGACATTGCATATAGTGTCAAATCTTACGTACACTAATATAATAGATATTCAACACATGCTTGAACTAGGTGTGCAACATTTTGGTTGATGGTCCATATAACCAACTATAAATTTCTAGATTGGCCACGCTAAAAGAAGGGATTGTGTCTAGCGCACGCCCTTACAGTGATAAAAGCACCGGACAAAACGATTCAACGCAGAGAAAAAAGCAAAAAAACATTATGTATTTATATCCAAGTGAGCGTCTTTTCAAACATAAACTATCAGATTATAATTTTATCCTTGACGCTCTAACGCTAAATAGCGTTAGGGATATTGTTGAACAATCATATGTTTAAATGATTAAATAGTCTTAATTCAAACTCGTATTTCGTAAAGCCTATCTAGTTGTGTTCAAAATTAATACTAGCACATTCTCACTAATAACAGTATACAGATATGTACTAGCAAAAATGTAACAATAACTTACAAAACGCATGTCACTCTCTCGTCAGGGGACGTCTCTCTTCCGCCACCAAGATTAGCAGTGCAGGAAATGTTATCTTTTGACTCATCGATGCTGCCATTGGGTAAGAGCTATGAAAGGTATAAAAAGAGTAATAGAAATTACTATATAGCCTTACAAAATCCTTTATCTTTATCCCTAGGATTTCATAGAATTTTCAAAACAAAAAATTACGAGGAAAGTTCTATCTATTTCTAAATTTTATCCCTAGCTAGTCATAGAATTTACCAAAACAGAAAAATTGCAAAATCTCAAAAATTCTTCTCATTTTTTTACGCACACCATTCAACGCAATGGGTATGTACTGGGTTACATATTTTATGCATGTTTTGATACTTATTGAGAATCAATAGAAAATTTAGAAACCAGCTTATATTGCCTAACAAAAGCGTCGATTTCCATTAATTATGTTTTAATAATATTCACATTATTTAATATTATTTATCTCCGCAGGCCACTTGTTTTCTTCCAATTTCTTGCGATCAACGATGCCTACTTCGCATTGCCAATACACAGCGAAACTATCCTTCTTACTTACCCTGTTAAAATTCATGCTGTATGCCGTACTATCAAAAGTTCCTGATCCAATATTAACGTCACAAGTTATGTTTATTGTTTCTCCAACCCGATATTTCGATTCTTCAGGCGCAGACACTTGCACAATCGGCGACCATTGTCGAGCTATAAAGTAATTGTTTGGTTCCATTACATTTGAACCCACGACGATTGCACCTATGGAATTTTTTCTAACTAACTAACCATACTAACCCTAACAAACCCATGGGATTTAGCACCCGCATATAGATTGAACCCGCGGATATACACATGGGTTCAAATGTACGATCACCAATTGTTCAGTTAGCGCAGTATGTTTCAACCATGGTTAAAGGGCACCATAAGGATCCGCCAGTACAGTCCAGGTATTTTCTGCAAGTTTTCATTTAACTCTGAGAGTCTACATACAGGTATAAATTTAAATATAATCGAATGCCACTCTTATTTTACTAAACTTGCTGCATTTTAAAAATGATTTTGTTTTGCCAGTGATATATTTGCTTTTATATAAATTCATAATCATACAATTCAAACAATGTAAGATAATTTAACAAAATTCATACAGAATGTTGCTGGCGTTTGTTACAGCTGTGCTCCGTATATCATGCACAGTGAGTGAATTTTGAGGTCTAAAATCACAAGTTTGTAATGACGCTAAATTTCAGTATTGAATAAATTAAACTATTGCACAGACTCTGATATGTTTATCGGGGTTTCGCTTTACCAAGAAGGTCAAAAATTCCTGAGTTAGAGATACATTGTTTTAAAAAGAAATTTGATATAAATGGAAAATATTTTAATATATACTTACGTTCTATGCACAATTCATAGAAAACGATATATCTTGTTTGATTATTATCAATCACTGAACAAGAATACTCTCCAGGATGATACCTGTAGTCTGTTACAGGGATGGTCAACTAAAATAATTGAAGCATTGAAATAAAATATGATTTTGAGTTAACTAATTTTAATTTAATTGTAACAAAAAAAAATAAAATCATTAATTTTGGTTAACCAAAAAAAAAAACAGAACTCCGTCAAATGAAACCTATTCTTGAGGGAAGATCACTTTTGTTTAAGTTTGAAACTTGGGGGACAATCATGCACATAAAATCAAGTGTTAAATTTTTTTTTTCATTATTGGGGATCGAAATAAGAAATATATGGATTTAGTTTTTGGAATCACCCTGTATATAAAGATTGAAATAAGATATGTGTTAAGATGTGAAAAATATGAATAAAGACAACTACAAGTACCTGATCATTAGTCACCGTTACATTAGGCGGCAAATTTGTGTCGCAATTGTGATACCACGTAACTTCGTAATTTCTCACATTAATTTCAGGTTCTTCGGACTGACTTGTAACTTTAAAAAGGAACAAATTGTGTAAACATGGGATACTAAACCAACATTGTGGAAAGTTGGAGAATTGATCTAAAGTTTTTGTTGATTTAAGTATTTGCTATATAATTCAAACATGCAACAAGGCTGTTAAAGCGTATAGTGTCATATTTATTCCTGCTAGAGCATTCTTGCATTACTCGCATACGGAGAACCTACCGTAAAAGCAAAGAGGAGGAAAAGGGAGTTGGTCTCGCGTAACCCCAACTGATAGGTAAATACTTACGTTCGCAATACATAATTGTTGTATCTTCTTGAATTATTTTTCTTTCAACTACGTTGGTTTTGTCTTTAGGGACAGAATTGCACTCGTAGTTGGAAAGTTTTGAAGTAGTTAGTTGTAATTTTTCAGTCACGCAATTTTCTGAAGAAAGCTGTTTATACACATGTTAATGAAGCTTTCAATTATGAAATCTAAATATTAGGAAATAAAAATAAATTTATATATTTAAAAAATCATGATACAATAAAGATTGACGACATTTTCTTTTTTATTTAATGTTTGCAGATAATCTGTCTATATTTATGTGAAATTGAACAGCTGACATTTCGTACTGATGAAACTAATGTTATTGAAAACCTTCAGTTTTTAGTTATCTATAAAGATGCTTCTAATTTACGCGTTCCAAAATCAAATTTTTTCAAAATTTCATCATCATAAAATTCTGTCAACGCGACTCAATTTATTTAAAAATGAAACTGTTTAATAGATTTCAACATTGCTAACCTGCACTGTGATTTCAATCTCTGTGGGGGTGGATTCGTTAACTTGCAGATTATATTCTAAAGTCGAAATATCATAGGCCGATGTTGTCTCGTTTAGTAGTGTTTTATTTAATTCCGGTATCTGGATAATGCACTGAAATAAAATATATTGGTATAATTATAAATTTAATTAATAACTGCTGATTCTAAAGTATTATTGCAAAGAATTCATTTGTATATAGAAAGCAAATGAAATGTTGCACAGTAATAAAGAATGATATCTTATAGCTCAGCAATTCTGTATTTTTGGACAATGTATTTTTACATTCACGTTAATTAAACTCAATACAAAATTGCAGTCAAAACTTTACTGTGTTTTAAGTACGAAAAGTATTACGCGGCGTTGTCTGGTGGATTTTCAACTGCACGCCTTATGTCGAAAAACATAACAGGACCGACTATCAATCCGGTAGCACAAGGGCCAATCTTCATTTTAAAAAAATATTTTTTTTGATTGACTATTTTTGATTATAATCTCGAAGATATTTAAAATGTATTTAAAATAGTTTATTACAGTTAACATCTGCATGACATGATAGTAATAAAGTGTCTATTGGAACGAAAAAAGATCGCTTAAATTCGAATTATTCGCAACAAAGTAACACCGATTCTCAGCTCGTGTTAAATTTTTATTCCATGCGTTCTGCTAATTTACGTGAACCGAAATTAAACATTATTGACTATGTGTGTGTGTGTGCGCGCGTGTGTGTATGTAAAATATCACACAACAATATGTAAAATAAACGTAATTCTTACCGTCAAATCAAACTCATCGTCGTCAAAATAAAAGGCTTCGTAATACATGGAGTAGGCTTCGGAACAACTTATGACAACGGGCCATCCAATGTAGGTTTTTTTAGTTCCATTAAAAACTGTTGAACATCCTTCTGTGAAACATTTAAATGCTCCGTGAAATGAATTTCAAATAATTGAGAAAATACTGATTCTATAGAGAAATAGAAATGTAATTTTTTTTTTTTGAAATAATGGTTTTGTGATAATATTTTTAACATATTATTAATCTGAGAGTGTGCTTATTTTACAATATATGTCATTATTTTATTTTTTCCGTCAAGCAGTGGCCGCATCTAAGAAACATTCAAATACTTCGTGAAATTGATTTCGAATAATTGTGGTGATACTGAAGTATAGAGAAATAGGAATTTGAACCTTTTCTTGAAAAAAGTGGTTTTGTAATAATATTTTTAGCATATTATTAATCCAAGAGTTATTTTTATTTTGTTTCTCCCATCAAACAGTGGCAACATAATTATTTGTTTACACGCCATATGCCAATGTTGATATTTTAATAATGATTACTGACTGATGGGGCATTATATTTTTGGAATTATAAAAATTCAAAAGTATTGGGAAATTTGAAAAAATTTGATCGTGGTCTTTTTCATATTATATGCTTTTTTGATATTTTATCAAAAAATATATTATTTGATTTAAAATAATAACGAAAACAAAACAAATGAACAACTAATTCATTAGATTTTGTCTCAAAAGTAAGTGAAGAACAAAATAAAGTAAAGACATATGACATATATTATAGACTGAGAATAACCAGACTTTCATATTTATGCTATGTTGGGCTTAAATTGATAGTAATAAAACAAATAAAGGTAATATTTTCCGCAAGGTAATAGGGTATTTAGTATTGAACCACGGGTCCTTTCCACTGTTTACTCCCTACTTGGAATCCATATGTGCACGAGGATGCTTGGATGAAATAATATTATAAATATAAACAAATAAGATTAGCAGCTTTTTTCACTATTTGATAAAGGTATACGTTATTTTGTCTGAAAAAGGCGGTCTATGATCTAACGAATGCTTACTACTTGCTATTTCCTGGAAAGACATATGATATTTCTATTGATCAAGAATGCTTGTGGAATTTTCTAATTTCAAATCTTGTCAAAGTTAGCACTTTAAGTTATCCTTTCATTGTTGGATTTATCACCGTAATATCACATGAAATATTGACCGAAACAATGGAGTTATTGTTTAGGTTGTTGGAAAATTCCATATTATTGAGATCAAATATTTACAATGGGATGTGTGAAAATGTGGTAGAAGAAATTCTCGTCGAATTACCTTAAGCGAAAATATACTAGAGGCACGCACAGGGTAACCTGTATCAAATCTTTCTATGAATTCGAAGCATAAGCACCATAATACATCAACTGTATAATACATATACTGCAACCGGGTATAAGGGAACCTGTTCTAGGAATGGCGTGACATCGGCGAAACCGTTTTTTCTCCTTTAGTAGTTTGACAACTTCATATACTATAAACCATAATAAACTTAAAAAAAACTTACCTGCATATGTAGGTGTAAGCAGAATTCCCATGAGCAATAAATAAATCATGGATTTTATAATTAAATTCGTCGCCATTTCTGTTCCTGATCAACTGTTACAAATACCGTAAAACAAAGCTTATAAGCAAGTAATTTTAAAGTTTGGGGTCATATCATACCTCACTCATTGTAACTAGGAAGAGAACTTTCTCGCTTTCTTGTGAAGATTCAGATGGGTATAAATGCTAAAGAATAGGTCAGGATGGATAGTTGGCACTTCTAATAGTCCTTGAATTTTGTAATGGAATTTACATCATTCCGTGGTTACCAAAATTGAGTCATCGACTAAACATAAGTGGGTAATACAAACCAGACAGCAGATGTTTGCAACATTACGCATCTTGCAAATTGTAATTAACATGCTTGCCGCGCATCTTTAATTCTTCTTCATGGGTTCGCAGGTTCTAATCCCGTGGGCAATAATTATGCGCGAGAGGATTGTTGGGTTGTATGGTGGTTTATGGCCCACTGGTCGGTTACGACTTCCTCAACCATCAAGTCCAGATGTATCTAAAACAAATAACTGTCTCACTACTCCCATACCCGACATGGACACGTAACCGAACGAGAGGCTTGTAGTCGGCTCATCGTTTTTGCAAATCCTATCCATCCTATGCCAGGTCTCATGAATGCATTCAATTAAATGCTTCTTGAAATATAGTTAATCTGTACAGCTTGGCTAATAATATAAAGTGAATCATGATAGAAAGTTATATCTAATTCCTAGTTAAAATGACAATGAACACGGTGAAAATATAGTTTATAGAGCATTGGTTTTCAACCAGGGTTTCGCTGAACTCCGGGATTCCGCCATTGCAGTCTAGAGTAGACTCTATAGCAGGCGTCGGCAACCTACGACCCGGAGAACTATAATCCGGCCCGCGACGCTTCACTAAATTATAGTAACAACACATCTGTTTTGACGAATATATAGTTTAAACTAAATTTTATTATAACCTAACAATTATATATTTCACAATTACTCGTTTAATGAGCATATAATTTAATTATAGTTAGGCAAATGGCAACAAAACGCAGAAAAGTTGATCGTAAGTGCAAATGGTTCAATGGCGCTGAAAATGATCAAATGGAATTTTATGAGATGCAATGAGAAAATAAATCTATATTCTATTCGAGAAATGTATCACTGCTTGATTTTCATTATAAAAAGTACCATTCGTTCGGTTTTTCAACTTTCTAAAATCATGTGCGGCCCGCCAATGACTTGCCCACCTCAATTTGGCCCGCGAGCGACAAAAGGTTGCCGATCCCTGCTCTAAAGGTATTAAGTTTACATTCAAATCCGAGAGTCTATACCACTATTATATGCATATTGCTTAAACCGCAAAATGACAATTAACAATCATGCTGTTATGCAAGTTGAAATTACTGAAAACTTTTGAAGTGTTTATTTTGCCTCCTCGACTGTGGCATTGTTTAATGTTGAAACTGCTTTTTGTTGTGACAAATATTGACTTATCTATAAGATGTCAGAAGTGTCACAAGTGAATGTAGCTTATTTAGTAAAATTTATCAAATATTTGCAAAGTTTTTAATGAAAACAGCTTGAAGCTAACAACAATAACGGCGAGGTTTGAAAGGAAAATTTACAGAGACAATTTAGGAAATTTACAGAAAATCAAAGAGATAATTAACACCAAATAAAATCTCATTAAACCTAGAATTCAGATCGATGAATACTGGCAAATCGATTTTTATCAGCAAATTAGGTGTTGTGTTTAATATTGACGGAAAATGTAAGCAAAAGATATCAAAATTATCCCGAGGAAAGAAAATCCTTAAGCATATAGCGTACCCCGGCCTCTCGTCCGATTACCAGTAAACGCTTGCAAAACAAAACCATGGTACTTGCGTCTTGATGCCCCAGCAGAGAATCGCCCTTTTCTAGCCAAGCTAATAGATAAACAACATAAAACAAATGCTGAAGGTTGTCACTCTATACTAAAACTATTTCCATGGTGAGTCACTTTTAAAGATGACGCTATTTCACTGACTGTGCTGTATTACACATATATGATATTCTACCTGCTTATTCTGCACTAAGATAGGATCTGTTGAGATGGTGATTAAAAGAGACTTCATTCGGCACTTCTATTTTTCCCATTTTTTTGTGTAGTATAATTAGTTGATTGGAGGATCGAAATTTTGCCAATTCTAATTTTTGATGCGTTTGACGCGTAGCTAAACGAAAGGAATGATTGCGAAACCGATTAAATCACCATGTTCAAATATTTACATCCAAAACAAAGTCTCGTGTCAGGATTTGTTATATTGGTGGCGTATGGTGTTGGTTTATACTAGAACAGCATCCAAGGCTAACAAGTAAGCTTTAATTGAGCGTATTTAACCTCTCTTTGCATGTCGTATGACACTGCAAGATGCTGTCTAATATATTGCTGTATAAACATTATTATAGGTTTTACGTAGATACCCAGCGTCATGCACAGGGCGGGAGGGGGAGCGTTAGTATGCAATGATTTAAGGAAATGTCACGTAATAAAACTACGTCATCGATGTATTTTTACATCAGCCGAAAACACAAAATTTTAGTTTTATATAAGATACGAAAGCAAATCTAGTGTGGCTTATCCAAAAGATGTAGATCTTTTTAATTCAAAATATTTTGTGTCAATTATGTTCTCGGAACGCCATGATTTTAATTTTTTGAGTGAATTTGCCATATATATAAGAAATAAGGTTTCAATTTTTCACAATCAAGAATTTACTGTGATTTAAGAACTACTCTCTCGTAGCCGTTGTCTGATGGAAGTTCAAGTACACGTCGTATGTGAATTCATAAAACAGGGCTATTATCTAGTTACGTTACTTCTGCCGTATTTGACTTCTGACACGTTGCCTTGTTTTGAACTTTATGTTTGACAAAACGCAAAATTTCTCTTTTCTGCGATTATTCGATCGCTCGGTAGATGTTTTTTTTTATATTGTGAGAGTACTGACTAAATGTGGTAAGGACGATTCACCACGACTTTCGCGTTAATCAGCCGAGCGAGACGTTGGTTAACTAAAGGCGAGAGTAATAGGTTTCCTAAGCGAATACGTCAATTCATAATGCAATGAATTGGTCGACTTTTAGCTTTTTTCAAGTTTATTTTGTACGCACATCACATGAGTATATTCGATAATAGTATCATTACACCATGAAAACATAACGTCGAATAAACTGTTTTTGTCGCCGCGTTACGCTGGTAGATCAATTCTATGTAATAGCGTTACTTGTATCGGTCTTGAAAAAACGTAATAATAGTTCACATAAAATAATAAAAAGATATGGCGATTTCTCAAACAATAGCCGAAATATTTGTTCTGAATTGATCGACATACGGTGGAATCGTTACCAGAAAAGCTATATATATCGTCATTGCTACATTTGAAATCGAGTGCAAAAATCGAAAAATATTTACAAACGGTGACATATGACATCGAGACAGCCTAGTGAAATGAGGTCAGGAACCGCTTTCAGAAATTTACAATTTGCAATAAAATGGCTTGCTAGATATGAAATTTCATTACTTTTAGGAAAGTGAACTACCATGCCACCGCAAAAAGATAAATAACGGTATAATAGAGTATATTAATTCAAATAAAAGTTTTATAACGCGTCAGAATTGTGGCGTGACGATTATTTATTCTGCTGAAAAATGAAATATGTATACAACACCGACCTTTGCTGTACTTTTTTGTTCATGCATGTATGCCATACAGCCAAACTTTATCACATTGCTTATGTTTCGACATAGTATGTAAAGGTACAACATTCTGATGCTAAACAATGAAGTGAGCTATGGAATCGTGAACAACTTTTAGTTCTCTTCAACACACACATTTATTGCGCGAACGCTGTATACTAATGTTAGACTTATTGCACCAGTATATAAATAGTATATGCAACAAAGTTTGCAATTATTTCAATAAGGGTGTTGAAAATCCCGGTATACATAAAAGAAGAAAATACGCATCACTCTCGTCACTTCTCTTGTGGGAGAAGCGCAATTAGTGCACGATGGCACACGCCAAATTTTAGAATGAATCCATGATATTTGTAACGATATCATTTACTACTGAATTCAAGAGTCCCCCATTGCACAATAACACATTGTGTTGGTGACCATGTCTTTTTTACATATTTGTGTATGTGTGCAGCAGGACAATTGAATTGCGTAATGTAATTTACTTTTGAATATTACTAATTGTAACGTTCAACTAAGTAATCCTAACACTACGTCTCTAGTTGCCCACAAACTCTTTATCTCTGCCTGTAAAAGCCTCTGTAAATAAAATCGCAGTTACCTGGCTGTATATAAGTGTGCCATATTTATCCACCTTATGCAGTATAAGATACTTCCTTCCCTACAGTTCATTTTTATAAATATAGCCCGTATAAAAAGCCGCTCAAGCGGGGCGAAATTAACAAAAGGCCAGGTCGAGTATGTCTGACTCAAAGGTGGAGCGGAATTTTACCTATCACAATGAAAAAAAGCCGGCTATTTTGACTGAATTATATAGGTATATCTGTTTTTACAGATAACATTTGCGACGGCATAATTAACCCAGCAGCGGTAAAATTTCATGATTAGATCCATTCTATCTATATATTTTTATATTTGGTTTTCACGTTTAAGACCAATTTATTCTTCAGCTGTGTTCTAACCCAAATACAAGTTATAATTACACATTTTTTAATCGTGTTACATCATGTTATTTAAAACGAATTTTTGTTTCATTTGGGAAAATTTTAATTTCGCGTGCAAAGGTACATTTACGTCGATAGGAAATTCCCTCGAATACAAATAATAGGATTTGTTTATTCAATCAGGTGATCGTGGAGACATTGAAAAAGGGATTACAATTTAAAATAGCTCTTCAAAAACTCCAAAGTTTTGTATTTGTTGCGGAAAACGTGTGACTATGTTATAAATGGGGTTTTACCCTGTTTCTAATTTAAATTCTAACTATTTCCAATAGGCTGCGGATATATTCGTCGTTATCAAAGATGCAACAAGTAAATTCCCATTTATAAGTTATAGGCTATTTTTATAAATACTAAATAAAAAGTTTATTTATTCCGAACATTTTAAGTTAAAAGTTCTGATCTCCAAAATATGATTATTCGTAAAATATGTAATGAAACATTGAATTTTGTAACAAATATATTAGTTACAACATTTACCGCTTTGCTATATGAGGGCAAATGGCGCTCTAGAAGTATGTGTACCAATATGAAGGTAACTTATTTTGTTTGGCTATTTTACATCAAGTTGTGTAAAGGAACTGAAACTTATAAACAGGGGATATTTGCACTTGTCTAACACAGACAGTCCCCGAACTCGTAACAGATCTAAAATAATGAAAATTGGAATAACATTATTTCCTCACCCTCACACATACTATAGGAGTACTAGACAAAGCACAAATGTTCACGGAAATGCTCATATAAATACGACCGAAGTGAAATAAATTCGAATCGATTTATTAATTTCAACTCCCAAGGCGAATTCAATAAGAATCATACATACATAGTTGAGTTATTCCTCGAATCGTTTTAATTAAATATCGAAAGAAATGTTTTATTATTTCTCTCTACATGTTGCAACTGAATTTGAATAGTTTGTTTGCATTTGTCTGCTTGTTTTCAAATTAATTTAACGTGATCTGCTTATATGAATTTCAATAATTCGTACCAATTTGTCTTCATACTGGAATTGCAGTCAAGTTAAATTAATATTCGTTTTTCAAGCTGGATTCCAATGACAAGAGCTAGTAATTTCTGTTTAAATATCGATGTTTTCAGACCGTGTATACTTGGAATGCGTTAATGAGCCGTACAACTAATGGCTGACGACGATTACTTAGAATTTATCAATTTTCATTTTCCAAAAGTATTTAATCTGTCACGGGTGCTTGTGATTT